TTACTGAAACTTTAATCTTATCTTTATTAAATTGTTTATCTTATCTTATAATAGTATAATTAAATATATTTTTAAATTCATACAATTTATGTCTATTTTTCATAGTTATATTAATTTTATTCTTCATAAAATATCCGAGTTCTATATCACATTTCTAAGATTTTATTCGTGTGATTTTTGATTTTCAATTTGTTTAAGTATGACGTCTAAAACCATTTAAAGAAGATGTTGATGAAAACAATTAAAATTTATTTTGTTATATATGTGATGAATATGTTATAATGAAACAACGAAATAACATAACAAATTTTGTTAAAAATGTATACCACGAATATTTTGGTATTCATTTAGGAGATCAAGATAATCTTGGGCACCCCATACTGTTTGCCGATCCTATGTTGAAGGTTTGCAAAATTGGAAACAAGATAAGCGTTTATCAATGCCTTTGAAGTACCAATGGTTTGGCGAGAACCAAAAAATCATATTGACAATTGCTATTTTTGTATGGTTAATATTTGTACATTGGACGGTGAATTATTGGTTAAAAAGACAGAATTTAGAACTGGGAACTAAAAATATAATAAGTCATTATTTAATTGAACCACAAAAAGTTTTATTACCTCCTTTGTACATAAAGTAAGGAATAATGAAGCAATTTGTAAAGGCCCTTGATAAAAATAGACATTGTTTCCAATATCTGTGCCATAAATTTCCTGTATTATCTGGAAAAAAGCTCAAATAAGGTATATTTGATGGACCATAAATCAGAATACTAATGAAAGATACAGATTTTCAAAATAATATGACCACCGTAGAAAAAAAATGCATGGACTAGTTTTAAAAGCGTGGTATCGAAATTTTTAGGTAATACAAAAGATCCAGATTATAAATCGATCGTAGCTGATTTATTGAAAAATTTACAAGTATTGGGCTGTAATATGAGTATAAAACTGCATTTTTAAAATTTGCTTATTGACCATTTTCCGGAAAATTTGGGTTCATTAAGTGAAGAACAAGGTGAACGTTTTCATCAAGACACCAAAGAGATGAAAAGGCGATATCAAGGTCGATAGGATTTTAGTATGATGGCCGATTACTGCTGGTGTTTAAAACGTTAAACTGAAAAACAAAGCTGCAAAAAAAAAATCAAATAAATTTAGACTGCGCTGTTTACTGCGCTGCCGCATGTGTCACTAGAGCGATCGCCGCAATATTATCGTATTAGTCGTATTTACATTGGACGCCACCGCAAAAATCGCATTAACGGACGAGAATGCAAATTGCATCGGTCGCATAGTACAACGATTGTGGTATTTGTCAGATTCACGAAGGACACATGCATCATTGTTATGCCTAAAACTGTACTGACCTGAAGTAAAAACTCCTTTTGTACTTATGTTTATCCAGCTCTGTAATGCATGCATGATAGATCACATATCAGTTATATATTACCTTGATAGAATCGATTTTCACATTCTTGGAATGGAGTAAGACTAAGGGTATTATTTAATAATTTTCTACTCATACAACTTCCTTAGATAATGGAGCTGGTTTGGATAGTTTTAAACAAAAAAAGAAAAATTACGTAATTTACTATTAGTTATTGAAGGTTGGTAAAAAAATATGAGAATTTTCAACATTTGCTAGTAACTCATTAAGTCTCAACCTACCTAAAATTATTTACATAAATATTTAATTTTTTAACATATTTATATGCTATTTAGTAATTACTATAAGGAAATAGCTATGAATTTATTCTAATTATAGTACTAAATATGTATTTATATGTACTTCCTGTATAATTATAATCTGTCGACAATTAAGTTGGGTTTGTTTTTGAGAACAGATGTAAATAAGTATATATATTATAATCTATATAACATCAGCTATTTTTTTTATATCATGTTTATAAATTTTAATTTAAAGACACGACCACTTCTCAAATTATATTATACTATATTGTATTGAAAGTATCTGTAACTTGTAACCTGTAAGTACTACAACACTAGTTAAGGTTAACATATTCAAATCTGACTAATCATAGATTTATTTTACTTATTTTTACCGTTTGCATTTAACTGTGATCATATAGACAAGCAGTGGCGTGTGCAGTGGGGGATGATGGGGGATATATCCCCCCATGGGCTTTTTTTTTTGTCTTTAATGTTTAAAAATATATTTAAGAAATACGACGGGACAGTCACGGTTAAATGGATTACGTTTATGAACATACATTGAGACATTCCATTATCTACAGAACAAATTATTGTTGAATTTAGTGTAAAAGCCAGAAGGATGAATTTCCGCCTTGATTAAATTGTTTTTTGTATAATAATAAAGAATAACGATTGAAAATAATATATTTTTTATGTATGACATCTCTCCCCATACCAAATTCCTGCGCACGCCACTGTAGATAAGTACCAAACAATTTTACATCTTGATCAAGACTTGATGTTTGTCGTACCTACCTATTTTAAAACTTGTATCATGTATCACTGATTTGTATTGACGATTTTGTAAAATTAATGTTTATACCTATTATCAATTGTATTTATAAATGTCATAATGATAATAGCGTAGTCAATAAATAATAATATTTTTATTTTTTTTTTTTATTATTATTATTATTATTATATAATATATCCGCGGCTTCTATGGCCATTGGACGTTACAATGTTTTAGACTTAATACATAATGAAAATAAACTTATTACTTATTACTTATTACTAATTCATTTATAAAATAAACAAATAGATTGGTGCAGGTTGGTTACAGGAGGTTGATGAGGTGTGTATCAGTGAGAAATTGGCAGAGCTTGACGATATTGTCTGGTTTGGGGCTTAGTGTTTCAGTCAGGTGATAAGATATCTGCTGCTTAATTCTCTCCATATTGTGTCAATAATATTTTACATCTACAATCAGTGTGTTCGGAAAATCATCAACTAATTTAGCGGATTGATTGGAGTTTAGGAACACCTTTTTGGGGCATTACGTTGTAACGAGTTGGTTAATACGTTTGACCGCCACCATAGCTATGATGTCAACAAATTATCAATTATATTCAAGCAAGATTGTTGATTGTTATTAATTAACTAATAAAATACAAAATATAATTGAATAAAATATTAATTGAAAATTGTAAATTAAATCTTCAAAACATATCTTATTACATATTTTTTTTTAATTATCTTTAAGAAATGAATACATGTTTAGATAAGAAAAAAATGTTATTGTTAAATCAATTTAAAAATACTGAAGTTCGTATTACTAACTTCATGTTAATTACGAGTTTGTATAATGACAGACTTTAAAAGTCATTTTAGACTTAACAAGAATTCAGTCGAGGTAAATATATTTAACATTATAATAATTCATTTTTTGTTATTATTTAAATGTATTTATATTTCTATATTATTAATCTTTCTTTTCCTTATTAACTTCCATATTTTTGCTTTCCATTATAACCACAGTATATAATAATGTTATAATACAGTCGACTGTTGAGAGCTTCAGTGCTCGTCACTTGATAGTAAAAAAATGTGAAATACTGAAATGTCTTGCAAATCACATAAATGATATATAATTAGAATTTGGCGTGTATTTTTTATCAAATCCATCTGTATTTCTGTTAGTCCAATTGGATAATTACGGATTCCTGATAAAACAATCCGCTTAATTACCTCCCCTCCACTGTATTGAAGGAACGCTGAAATTAGGAATACTAAATTCTAGCAGCTGACCAATCTGCTGAGTTTCGAAACAGACGGATTATGTAATTTATAATCTATTATCCAGTGATTATTCTAAGAATTTTTATCAACTACGCATTTTGTTTAAATAAGCCTATCAAAATAGAAGTATGATCTCAAAATATACTGTCAAATAATAGTAAAAACGATAAAATGTGTAGCTTCTATGTGAAGTAATTTAAAATGAAATGTATTTAAAAGATATAAAACAATTTACATTCGTGTTCAAAGTATTTTTTTTTAAATTTTTTAATAAATTTCCTTTTTACTTTTTTTATAAATCATAATGTAATGTATAAAATAACACTAAAAAACATTGAATTAAAATTTAATTACGCAAAAGTTTATTTTCAAGTGCGCAACTACCTTTTCCAAATACGCAAAATAAGCCCAACTGCGCTTTAGAATAAGCCCTGCTATAATCTATAATATTAGGCGCATTACCGAATAACAATAGAGAAAAAAAGATTATTCATTTACAAATGTAAGTCATTTCTCGGATTACGGAACCGGATACCTGTTTAATTAAATGTGACATATATGGCTTTCTGATTCATGTGGTAAACTCTAACGAATGTCGCATGTACAAATTAATATTCAATACATTTATTTTACCATCATCATAGAATAATAACCATTGATTAAACTTATATTTTATTCTATAATTTACATAGACATATGTAATTATAATTGTATTTACATTTTTTAAGAAAAAAATTCTGTTTGACACAAAATCAAATAAAAGCCATACTTTAAAAAAATATTTTAGGTTTTTTTTTATAGATTTATGAAACAGAGACTCATATATCGTACATCATAAAATGTATAATAATAAAAGTAGTATTAAAATTCAATAAAATGTAAAATAATATTAATTTAATCGTTGTTGTTTTATTAGGTTAACCTCATGGTATACTTGTAGATTGTATCCATTGATTGTAGAATCTATCAAATAGGAAATCAATGCTAGTACTTAGCTACATATCGATCATAGCTTTATCTTCAATGTCTAATCTACATCTATTTAATACATAAGTAAATGTTATGAAATTCTATTTAGTTTCGTAATTTTGCTAACAATTTTATATAATTAATAATAGTGTATGGAAGGGTAAATTATCAACTTATTTAAATATTTTCTAAATTTTTTTTTTATTTATGAAATTTACAGCGGTAATTTTAAATAAAAAATAGTTAACATAAATATTAAAATAGTGATGATATCTTTATTTTATACAATATGAAATTTTTTCAGGTTCAAGTATTGCAGAATTAATAAAATTAGTAGCTATGGATCAATTATTAATATTATCAGACACCAGTAATCAAGAGTACAAATTACAAATCTCAAGTTAATTTAATTTACTTGAGATTTCATAAATATAACCATTAGTATTTTTCACTGGTTTATGTAACACATACAATTCAGCACTTGTAATCAAAAGTTTTAGTTGAAATTCAATTTTTTTTTAATGCAATAATTGCATGATTTCTAGGAGACAGCAGTGGATCAAAAAGTTTTGCAACAAAAGCTTCATTAATACCCTAAAAACAATTTATTAAAAATTAATTTTAACAAAGTGAAATTAGAATAAAAAATATAAAAGCTATTAATTTTTTTTTAAACGTTATTATAAGGTATTTTTTACATTTTTATAAAATTACAGCAGATTGTGTATGCATATTTTAGTTAAATTTTTCATTCAATAAATATTATTTAAATATAACTAGTTATTGATTAAAATAACCTAAAAATGATTTTGATAAATAGATTCTATAAAAAGAAGAAGAAAGAAAAGTATATATAGTAGTTCCATAATTTTAAATTTATCAATTTTTTTTATGCATATTTTAACATTTTAATCTATATATTTATGCAAATTTAAGAATTTTTTGATAATAAGTATAATTTCTTTTTTGTGAGTTTTAAGGGATTTGAATTTTATATTTTTATAATTATATGGTAACATAAGTATATCATCTCTATATAACTTTCTCAAAATTAAATTAATTAAATATTCATACTGAGAAATTTTTACTGGTTATTATCTTAAGCTAAAAGAAATTTTAAAAATGATATTTTTAAGATAATATCAGTAATTATTTTTAAAGTTGGGGAATCAATTAAATTATAATTTGCCACTAAGGTATATTATTATTGTAAAAAGAAAATTATTACTTTATATATTTAATATTCATTGATTAATGTATAATTTATATTTATATGATTCATTTTAAAATAAAAATTTATATTGATACCAATTTGATGAATTTATTCATAAGACATTGAAATCTACCTTTAGTATATTAAATAACAATATGTGCATAATACCTGTTCATAAAGATATAATAATCTATCCATTAAAATTAGTCCTTCAATTATTGGAGCTAGTGTTTGTTTTAAAATAAAAAATATTTTTATTCGTTCATATTCTATCTGATATTTATCATACAATTTGTTTATTGTTTCATCATCAACCTGAAAAAAATGAATTTAAATTTGTATATTTATTTTAATTATAATAAATAAGTTATAAAATACATTTTAAATAAGTCTCGATTTCAAAGTACCTCAGTATTTAATTGTAAACGTTTTAAAGCTTTATGAACATATTCATTAAAGGTTAAACATTTATGTGCCAATCTTCCAACATGACATCTAGTAATGTTTTCAATTCCAAGTTCTTCTACTAAATAAACTTGTAAAAGTGCTCTATAGAACAATGGTTTTGTTGGATTTATTATCTGCAGAATACATTTTTGATTTCATTAAAATATCTTTTGCTTGTACAAGAACTACAGAAATAAAATTTTAAGATAATGATATTACTTGCAAATTTATACAGTGTGTAAACTCTAATTGAGAACACTCAATAAATTTGCATAGAGACCTGCAATTTGAATTTGTTTTTATTACACATTTATATGATCTTTGAATTTTTTTAACTAAATTAAACATACACAGTACAACTTTTTTTCTTAAATGACATCCACCTATTTCAACCACTAAATATTTTTTGTCTAATTTTTTAAAGAATTTTGGTAATTTAACCAACTTCCTAAGTCCAAAGTTTAACAAGTTAGAGCAATTTAAAAAAATAATGGTAATTCTGGAAATGATTGTTCTAGGATTATTCAGACTTTTTCACCCCTATTTATTAAGGTGAGATTCACAGCATAGGTTTAGACAAATATTTGAACAATTTATACATTAAATTATTTAATAACTAAATAAAATTATAATTTAAATAAGAATTAAATTTGTAATAAATTATTAATTTATTCCAATAGATCCATTTAATGAAGCAAAATAAATAAGTATTATGCTATAAGTTATAATTTTTATACAAATTTAAGTGAAAATTAACAGTAGTTAAAATTATAATGACGTATGAATAAATAAAACCTTAATAAATAGGGGTTAAAATGTCAAGTCTGAATAACCCTAGAACAATTATTTTATTATATATTATATATATTTATATATTAAAGATATTGAGTGTTATCAATTAGCATTTATACTCTGTACATATATTGTATTACATGTATATTAATATTCATTAATCATTAAAAATATCAATAAAATATCAATAAAATTAATATAATAATTAAATATAAGATAAGTAAAAATATGAAGTGTATCAATTAAAAAAATAACATTATTATACTATACAATAAAATAAACCTGAAATTCAATTGATTATTGATAATAATATGTTGATATTATAGTATATTTAAATAAAGTAGGATGCCGGTCTGAAAATGCAAGCTAAAATATTTAAAAATATTTTAATTTTAGAAAAAATAATGAAATTATTAGAAATTTTTTAAAAAATTAGCAAATTAATGTAGATAGTTAGAGTCCTAATAATATAAATAAATAGAACTTACATCTTTAGAATTAAAAACTTTTTCTGGTGATTGAGAAGCACACATTCTAGCATCTCGTCCAAGTATAAATTGTTGATCTTTCAGATATTTACTAACAGGAAATCCATACGATTGATTGCTGTTTAATGCATTTTCAACATCATTCCAGAATGGGTTAACAGTGAATTCTTCTTCAATTAAATGATAACAGCAACCAACATTGACCAATAATTTTAAACAATTTTTAGATTCAATAAATAATTTTAAACAAGTAGTAGCTAATGAACCACACGTGTGAAGTCCGACTAAGGCAAACTCTTTTTTTTTATTATTTTTAAATTCATTTTGAATTAAGGGTACAATGTTGGTATGTTCAGTAACATATTCTGTAACCTGTTTATACGTACTACCCACTACATTTGATTTTTTGCTATACTTTTCATAATATTCTTCATATGTATTACATTTTTCTTTAGCTATTGGACAAAATATTTTTTTTTCAAAACTATCTGATTTTTTAACAATTGTCTGCCAATATTTCTGAAAAAATAACATTATCAATGTATCAAATAATTTTAATTTTATATAGATATACTGTTTATTAAATATAATAACCTCAAATTTTATAGTTCGATTTTTAGCACCTTCAGAATTGATGGATTGAGAATCAATACCAAGTACATTGAAATTGTAAGCTAAAGCTAATAAAGAACTTAGATATCCTTTTCCACCTCCAATATCAATTATTATGTCTGTACCAGCATAGTGAGAAAAATCTGCTACTAATTTAGCCATTACTTCTACTTCATGCATTTTCTTAGCAGCCATGAATTCTTTTAATTTAAATGATTTATCTATTGGATTATAACCCCAAGACTGAAGTACATTATATACATCATCTAAATTTAAATAACAACTACTTGGATAAGAATTTAAGTTGTTTAATTTAGATGAAGTAACAAAACACGTTAAAGAATCAGGAATTGGATAATCTGACCAAAAATTAGCTAATACAAATTCTGTACCTTTTAAATCAACTTCTTTTCTAATATCACTAGGTATTACAGTTTCCCAAAAATTATTACTTATGAAATTAACAACATGGCTATTAGCAATAGGTAAATATGGTTTTAAATAAATAATAACTTCATCTAATTTGGATCTTAATTGTTCCATTGTGAAAAATTAAAAATACTTTTATCTATATCTTTAATTTTTAAATTAAAACAAAATTTTTTATACAATCCTTTTATTTCATTGTATTGAGTAATAATATTAATATTTTTATCATTAATCTCTGGAAATGCTTTAATTAAGCCTGAAAGTTTTTGTAAAACATGAAGTTCTTTAGCAGAAAATATGATTATCTGCGACTGATATAGTTTGTCTATAGCAATTAAAATGCCAGAATAAAACCCAATTTCTAATCCAATATCATGACCTTTTTGATAACCTATTTGAAAGCCTTGCTGGTAAGAATTTTCAAAAGACTTTTCAATTCCTTCGGTATAATTCTTTTTAGCTATACGCTTTTCACTTAGCAGAATATCATCAATAATAGAATCATAATCAAGATTTGTACAAACACTCATTATAATCTGAAAATATTTTATTAAATATTATATTAGAAACAGAAATCAAATTAAGGATCATATTCAATACAAAAATTTAAGCTTTTTTTAATTATTAAGTTAATAATATTTTACTTTAAACTAAAAATTATCAACATTATACATATTAACTAAAATTAACTTCAATATTTTTTTGAATACGACCCATAATAATAAATACATTAATAATAAATATTCACCAAAGATAATTTTTTTTTTTTTTACATCATAAAAAATTCTTTATTCCATAAAAAGTAAAATTAATTTAAAGTCGAATTTAAACACACTTAAAACTAAATAAATCATTATAGTGATATAATTTGTTAACATTTTTCTTCTTATCATCTTGTTGATGATGTCATTAGTTACCACGGTATTCAAGGTTTTAACAAGGAATGATATAAAATAAAATGTAGATAGACTACTTCTTTCATAGTTTGTATCAAAAGAATGTTCAGTTAAATTATGTACTTCTTTCTATAATTTATTTTCACTGTAAATTTTTCTATTTTATAAACATTTTGTTTTACACAAATTATATATTATTAATTTCTTTTATAAAATTGTACAAAAGATTTTTGAAACTATAAACAAACCACTTATTAATATATAAATATTGTTTTTTTTTAAATCTCAATCTGGCTGCAGAAATCTTACAAAATCCTGATGGAATTTTGCAAGAAGAATTCACTGATGGATCTATTGTAAATATATTGGAAGTGAGGATCAATCCAACTACAAATGATGATTCGATTGAAAAATTTTCATCATTTATTGAAAATTGTCCTACCAAAAATAACAAATGTGAACCAGTTTATGTTAATTCAGATGTGGATAACACATACTTAAAAGTATTTGTTAATGAAGTTCATTTATCAGAAGATGGTATACGATTATCAATAAAAGTGCTATGGAACATTCTTAAAGATGATAGACAAACCGAAGACTGGATAGGGTATTATAGATTAGGTGTGTATTAGTACATTTTTATTTTAATAAAATAGTTATATTTTAATTATGTCTTCAGAAAAAAAATGAAAGTTATTAACTTGTAATTTATTTATTATGATCCATTAGATAGTTAATAAATTCTATAAAAAATATTCATAGAATTATGTAGAGATGTATCACTATCTGTATGGTTTATATTGTTAAATTTATAAAAATATGAATTAAATTAATCTTCAATTCAATAATTATACTGCAGTTATTATAATTAATTGTTTTATAATTTACTTTCCAACAAAAATTGTAATGTTGGCAAAAAAAAAAAATCAATTTCTGTAAAATGAAAGTCTCATTTAAGTTGGTAGCATTGCGTTCATTCATGTTTTCGTGGCCCATAGTAATTTTGGGTTATGTACCGGAAGTGAGAGTGGGGTCGGGCAGGTGGGGGGTTTCCGTTTCATTCATCTATTCACTTCATTCATTGGCAAATGGTCATATATATCCGTTCTAAGGGCATGGCACTGCTTTTTATATGAGTGTTATTTTTCTCTCTCTCTGTGAGAGTGTTTTCAATATCCTATTAAATCATATTCGAATGATTTAGTATCTGTTCTTTACTTCCGGTTGAAGTTTTTCGTGTTATTTTTTAAAAAAAATTTAGTGTTATTTAAGTTATAGTTACAAGTCCTTTGATGCTTCAAAAAAGGTACGTTTTGAAATTGTATTTTATAGGCTAGATATAGACGATACACATAAGGCATTCAATGTGTTCAGCATTGTTGATTTTTTATTACGCAAGAGTAATGTTTCTTCAACATTACACAGTTGTGTATAATTATATTAAATTATCAGGCTCTTGTTCTGTTTGTTAAATCATACTAACGTTACACATAATGAATAATACTGAAGTTATAAATTCTAATCATTGATGTTTATTATACATAATTGATTAGAATTTATACATTTTATGTACATTGTTTAATGTAGAAACTTGGTATTTTTGTTAATGAAAATTGCTGATTTGAATTATTTAATTACATTTTGATTAACATCAATATTTTAATTAATATACATAATATTTTTTGTTGGGTTTATATTGATAATATTTTGTTTGTGTAATAATTGTTGAATCAATCGGAGATACATTATTTTTCTAAGATATATTTAAACCTACATATTACAAACACAAATTAATTATTATATATTATGATAACATTTGCTTTAATATAATCAGAAGATAGTACATTTATTGTATCATCAAAATTTTACATTGCTGTGTCTGCATCATTTAAAATATAAAGAATATATACTACAAATAATTGATATTTGAAACTATTTTTGTAGATATAATAATATGTATTTTTTCTAATTGTTTTAAAATATAATATTACCATTGATGCATATTTTATTGTAATTTAAACGTTGATATTCATACATGATATGTTTGATATTTATTATATGTTAATCTTAAAAACTACTATGGTAATAATTTGTTTTAAACAATTCATTCTTTATCGATAATTTTATTTTATTAATGTGTGAAATAATGATAACATGTATTCTAAACTATTATATTTACCAACATATAGTAGTTTTTTATGTTTATGCTAGATTCTCTTTAATTACTAAATTAATATCTTTGGAATTTTAATTTGACCTTTTTTTTTCTATAGTGTAACTCATTGTTTATTTTTAAAATATGTCTCAAGACCGATTAGTCAATTTTTCTACTAAAAGCAAAATTGCTAAAAAATTAGACATGAATAAACTTATACAGATCTTTGTTTCTCTAAAAACAAGCTAATTTTAAATAAAATTAAGTTTGTTATGTTTTATTTTATCAGTATTATTATTATTATAATAATTTGTTTAGTTTTTTAAGATTATTATAAAGGTTTAATTATTTTTAAGGTTAAAAGTGAAAAATATTTTAAAAAGCAATAAATATTTGAATACATTAATTCCTAAAATCTAAGTACATGCACCTAATGAATTTATAATAAATGATAAAACTACAAATTTGACATTAAAATAAAAAAATGAAAGTATTTTTCGTGTAGGTATATTACGTATAAAATAATGGGAGGGGCTAAGTTAGTATTGAATAATTTAATTTTTTTATATTATACGTAATGTATTTCTAATCCAGTTTTATTATTATTTTTCAAAATATAAATTTGTACCATTATGCTTATATAATTGTAAGTAATTTATCTAATATAATTTTACTTTTTTTTTTAATAATTTCTGGAATAATGCATATTCAAGCCCAGATTAAGACCTTCAGGGGTCCAGGGACCAATACATAGTTGTGGACACCCACTTTCCTTACATATAGTAGTTAACATAGTAAGCGAGTTACTGTCCTCAACGTCCATTAGTTCAAATAAGAAAAAAATAAAAATATTCTTTTAGGTGCTATAAAAAATATAAATTATAATTCAATATAATCTTAAGTCAAGAAGACTATGCGTTTTTAAGACATGGCCTCGTTTACCCTTCCTTTCTTAATTCAAACATGTGCACATATCATATTATTTATATTTTGAATATATTTTATATTAATACTCATAATTATTGTATCGTTAATTTTTTCTTCATTTTTAGTGATAAACATAATTCGACCTTTATAAATAGAGTAGAGATAGGCTTCATATATAAATATCCCTTCATATTTAACTCACCATTGTTGAACCAAATTTATTAGTTATTTTTATAATTGCTATATATTAATAAAATTAAAGTCATGGTAATGGTTTATTACTTAAAATTTGAGACTAATTTTTTTTTTTAATATTCACTCAAATTTATATATATTTATAATATGACATCTAGTATTATTTTTATTGTATTTTTAATTAGTTTATTTTTTATATTTGTTTCTTGTGGAGTATTTATTGTAATATACTTGTTGAGTGTATATTTATATTTTATATTGTTCTGTTATTTTTTGTTAATATTAAATTCTGTTAAGTTGCTATAAATCATATATTTTCAAAATTACATTTTAGATTCATTAAAATTTAATTTAAATATAGTTATTTGATTGTTTTTCTCTTGTGTTTCCAGTTATAATTTTATTCAAATGTATTTAAATTTATGAATTATAGGTTTAAACTTATTTAGTATAATATTTATGTATTATAATACTTCTTTTTATTGTTTGATTCAATATGATATTTATATATATATATATATATATATATATATCTGTACAGTAACCTTATAGTTATTTTTTTCCGTATAGATGAGAAAAATGTTATGACCTGTATTGCTCGATATACAAATCCTATCAATGGCACGTCAAAAGGAAGTGCAATGTGGTTAGTTGATTTTCCACACTGCTCATCCATGAATGAAGGTATTATTCATTATAGTTAATTTTTACTTTTGCTAAATAATACTAAGAATATATTTGTAGGATATGGAAAATTCTTTTGCTTCCGTTACTGTAGCGGCTTGTCTTGTCTGGCTGAATCGCAGCCAATTGACCTTGACTCTGTCTATAAGTTAGCAGCTGACAGTAACGAGAATGCTAAACAACCTAAAGTGTGTGAAAACTGTACAGAATCATGTGAAAGCTCTGAAAAACTTGCCCAATCTGGAGCAAAAGTTATTGAAACTAAAGTTGATGTTCATGTTCAACATGTTGATAAAAAACCACCAGTGGCTGAAAATAATGATTATCTTAAAATTTGGTCAGATGCTCCTGTACCAGATTCTCCTCCTCCTCCTCTTCCACCACGTACCTATAAACATAAACCTTTAGAAAGAACTTGGGCAATGCCGCCAACCACTAACATTCCGTTGGATGCATTACGTCAGTTAAAACCAAAAGGTCTAATGGATATTTCTGATTTTACCAATATTTCTCCTGTGGTTGAGTCTAAAGCACATAGACCTTTAACCAGAGCTTCTAGTCGAGCTGGAGACCATGTTAATATGAAGTGTTCAGTTCAAAAAACTTTATCAAATGATACTAGAGAACATTCAAGATTTATGATGTTAACAGATGAAAATAGAAAACCAAAAAGAACAGAAAGTAAAAGAGACACTACACTCCCACCTGGTAATGATTGATAATACTAAATATTTTATTTATTTAATAAATTATTATCTTACAATTTTACTAGACTGGGAAGCTCGAATGGATAGTCATGGTAGAATATTTTATATAGACCATCTTAATAGAACAACTACTTGGCATCGTCCTTCAAGACAAAATTGTGATATGCATTATTACCAACAAAGGCAACAATTAGATAGAAGGTATTTTTACTTATTTAAGAAAAATATTTTGATTTTTGATTTTTATTTTTATTTCTTTTTTTGATGTAAAGTATTTTATTAATGATCTGTAAGTGATGATACAAATAATAATCCTAGGTACCAAAGTATACGTAGAACTATTTCTCAAGAACCAGAACGTAACACACTGTCAAGAACTGATTCTTTGCGATTGGACTCATCAAAAACTAAGTATAGAGAAACTGGAAGTATAGCTTTGCAATTTATTAGTAAAAAAGAATTTCCAACTTTATTGCAGCAAAATCAAGTATAACTAGTTTTTTTTTTTTTTTTTATTGATTATATATTAATATTTTAATATTATTTACAGAGAGCATTAGCACTTTATAATAGCTCTTCATCACTTAAATATATTGTACCAAAAATACGAAATCATCCATCATTATTTCAACGGTATCAAAGTCATAGTGATTTGGTTAGTCTTTTAAATTTATTTGCCAATACAAGAATTGCACTTCCTAGAGGATGGACTTCTAAAACTGATGCTGCTGGAAAGGTTCATATATTAAAAATATAATAATGCTATTTTAACACTCATTATTTTTATATTAGGTATTTTTTATGGATCATACCACAAAAATGACAACTTTTATAGACCCACGTTTACCATTAAATGATCTTTCTGTGCCATTGCCATCTACGTCTCAGGAACCTCCAATACCTCCCCCTCGTCCAACTATAACACATATTGATAATATGCTTTGTGATACAGTGGATTTACCAACTGCGTATAATGAAAAAGTTGTAGCTTTTATACGTCAACCAAATATACTTGAAATATTAGCCGAACGATATCCACAGTTATCAAATGACCAAAACCTAAAAGATAAAATAAACCAAATTAGAATTGATGGTGTTCCATCTCTAGATACATTTGGGAATGAACTAGAACTCAATATTTTGTTGAGGTGAGTGAATTATTTCATAATTGATTTAATATATTTTATTATAGAATTATATTAATACTTATTTATGTTTTTATTAATGAAGTTTATTTGAGAACGAGATAATGAGTTATGTACCAATAAGAGTAAGAGATGTAAAAGTATCTCCTCAACAATCACCAATAATGAATAGGGCAAATAGAACTGTTCCTCCATTCAAAAGAGATTTTGAAGCAAAACTTAGGAACTTTTACAAGAAATTGGAAACTAAAGGATATGGGCAAGGACCAGGAAAACTTAAGTATGATTAATATAAAATAAAATTATAAAGAGTATTTAATTATTTATTTTTAGGATTGATGTACGGAGAGATCACCTTCTACAAGATGCATACAATAAAATAATGAGCATGCCTAAAAAAGATTTACAAAAATGTAAATTATCAGCCCAATTTGATAATGAAGAAGGACTTGATTATGGTGGACCATCTAGAGAGTTTTTCTTTTTAATATCTAGAGAATTGTTCAATCCTTATTATGGCCTTTTTGAATATTCGGCTAATGATACTTATACTGTTCAAATATCGCCTATGTCGGCGGCATTTGTTAATAATAAAGAAGACTGGTTTAGATTTAGTGGACGAGTTTTAGGTTTAGCATTAGTTCACCAATATCTGTTGGATGCATTTTTTACTCGGCCCTTCTACAAAACTCTTTTAAAGCTGTAAGAAATTTTTTTTTACTTATTTCTATAAATAATAATTATATATATAAATTATTGAATTTTAGACCAATGAGTTTAAGCGACTTAGAATCTGTTGACCGAGAATTCCATCAATCATTATGTTGGATTCAAGAAAGAGATATATCAGGAGAAATGTTGGATCTTACATTTTCAGTAACTGAAGAAGTATTTGGTCAAACAGTTGAAAAAGAGTTAAAACCAGGAGGCCAGCGAATTTTTGTCACAGAAAAAAATAAGAAGGTAAACATATTTAATACTGTTATATTTCAATTTTATTAATATTTTATTTATATTTCAAATTTATTAAATTTCATGTTTTTTTTTTACAGGAGTATATTGACAAAATAGTCAAATGGCGATTGGAACGTGGTGTTACCGAACAAACCGAAGCTCTAGTCCAAGGATTTTATGATGTAGTTGATCCACGATTGGTATCAGTCTTTGATGCACAAGAATTAGAACTAGTCATTGCTGGAACTGTTGAAATTGATTTAGCTGACTGGAGAAATAACACTGAATATAGATCAGGTAATATTTAATCATCTATGAAGCCATTATAAATATTACATTAAAAACTAATATGACTGCGTTCTTTTCTGACAATTAAAATTTATCTTTAGAATATATATATATATTTTAATACTGATGTATTACAGGATTCCTGGTTTTTTATTTTATTAATTCATAACTTTAAATTAGATTGTAAACCAATTATTTTTTTTTTTAATATTATATATACATATCTTTTAGATTTAGATTAGATAGATTAAAATTTTTGCTATATGATATTTAAATTATTTTTTAATTTTAACAATGACAATATTTGCTTATTTAATTTCAGGTTATCATGATAAACATCAAGTTATGAAGTGGTTCTGGTCTTCAATAGAACAGTTTACCAATGAGCAAAGACTAAGATTACTTCAGTTTGTAACTGGTACCTCTAGTATACCATATGAAGGATTTTCTGCCCTTCGTGGATCTACTGGTCCGAGAAAATTTTGCATTGAAAAATGGGGAAAAGCCAACAGTCTCCCAAGGTATTGTTTTAATATTTTTACATTCTTACCAAATGAAATACTAAACAACAAATGCACATTCATTGACAAATAAATATAAAAAATTAATGATAACATATTTATATTTATTTATTATTTGTTTTAGAGCTCATACTTGTTTCAATCGTCTTGATTTACCACCGTATACTACTCAAAACATACTTTGCGAAAAACTATTGTTAGCTATAGATGAAAGTAATACATTTGGAATGGAGTGATAAGTCTTTTTATACTTTTTATAGCTAAATTCAGGTTAAAAACGTAGCAATTACGATTTATAGACCAGAAATTAATTATTATTGAACATTTTTAAGATTTTTTTTTTTTTTTGTTATTTTATATTTAAAAAACCTAGAGAGTGAAAATAATTATATTATCATTGTAAATGTAATATTTAAACAAAATTATTTATTATTTATATTCAAAAATGTTTTAGTCTAGTTATTACCACTACATCCTGTTACAACCAATAGTCTAGTAATGACAGGACATGGTTATATTCCCTCACATTTATTTATTTACTTTCTTGTTATTCTGTTAAAAATCGACTAATATCTCTCACATCATGATGTTTAAGAAAAGAAAAACGCATTTGTTATTACTGTTGATATATTTTTTATTTTATTTATATATTATTGCTTCTCCTAAAATTTGCTACCAATATTTTTAATTGAAATCGTAGTCTATACAGAACAATAACGACTTGTTGAATCCAAAGAGTAACATCGACAAACACAATCAGCGACTGGACATTCCAAATGATTCCTAAAAGAAATTATTACAAATAAATAATTTTTATGTAATCCACGAATTAGTTGTTTTAAAACTATTTAAATATTTACTTAAACCAGTCACTAATATGATTAGAATGACCACCATGATTACAAGTTGGACACCATGAAAACCAATAAGAAAAACTATTTACACTTTGCCCAGTAACCACATATGAGCTGTTAGATGTTAATTGTTTGCTAGATGTTTTTCTTATTGGAACTTTAGCACTAGCAGTGCCTAAATGTGCAAGACAGAGTGCACATCTTGGTAATGGACTTTGACAATTAGGACATGACGTAAACTGAAAAATACATAACATTACATATTAAAGTAAGGAAATGTTATTTTTAACAGGACTTCTAATTTATCTTTTACAAATTATTAATTATTTGGATTCACATTGATAAAGTACTCAAAAAAAAAAAACCTTTCTACATAAATGACTATATATAAACAATTATTGACTGGTAATAAAATATATTGATATCAGTAAAAATAACTATTTGGTTGCCTAAATCAAAGGTTATATAATTAGTATGAAAATACTTAATAACAATAATAATTATTAAAATATTATAATATTATAATAATAATATTAATAATACTTAATAACAGTGAAAACTAATTTTTCCTTACCATTTAAATTTTTTAAGATTTGTCAATCCACTTAATACTTGTAATTATTTTAATTCAACATATATAGTAAGAAATAATTTATTAATGGAATTTAAATCCATATTTACTTATAATTAAATCTTAATTTTTTGGGTTGTAAATATACAATAGTACATTTTTGAAAATGGTTTTAAACAGAATTTAATTAGTATAATTAAACATTAGTTTTTATATTTAAAATTATTTTTAATTTTCAAATAATCAACACTAAAAATGGCTTTCCTAAATAATTTTTATTTTAAGCTAGATTAAAGTAAAATATAAAAATATATCTCTTAAAAAAAATTAAATTTTCATTTAAAATTGATGTTAAAAAAATTATTATATTTTAAAATAATAACTAAATAAATAGTTAACAATAATAAAGATCATTTTATAAAAAAATTTTAGAACTTCAGTCAAGACATACTTTAAAACTATTAGATCCATTTTCTGTTTGCTCTTTCATTCTGTGTATTTTTATTTCTTTATCATTTTCTTTCTCTTTCTCATCAGTTGCTGGGCAAATATTTTTTCCACAGTAATTACAAGATAAAAATACATTTTGAGGAGGTGGTTTTACAGCCTTAAGAGCTATATCAAATTTGGCTCTTATATGCCACATTCGCCATTGGTCTAATATTTCTCTGTAACTATATATTTCAATTTAATGCAAAAGAATAATTTATATATTAATAAAATAAAATTTAATTTAAATATATTACCTATTGATCCAATTCATCATAACCGGATGTTCATGTACAATTTCACTTGGAATTATTTTCAAAACTAATATACTAACTGTTTGTATATCTCCCGTACTATCTAAATACCTTTGTAATAAAGGTACTAAATCAGGAGATGACCCTAAAAAAAGATGAATAATTAAATATAATACAATTTTTTCAGATTCAAATTGTATGATAACATTTTTATTCTATATTGATTATCCACTTCTCATAATATAATATAATATATACAATTCAAAGCACTATATTACATTATGATGTGATTATATTATATTATATATACATTATAAATATTATAATGTGTGGTCAATCAGTCAAGAATTATTTTTTATAAGTATTCTATTTCAATTGAATTGAGTATTGTAGAAACATCAAGAGACATATTTTATGAAATTAAGATATTGGTAAAAATGTAAATTAGTCATATGTTTTTATGTGTTTAGTGTAAAAACACTGATTATTATTATTTAGTTGATAAAAAATTAACTAAAGTTTTTACACTCAACGAATAAAATATGTTTTTTACTAATATCTCAATTTCATAAAATAAGTGACTCGTCAAACATCAATTAATTAAAATTAAGAATATATTCCACAACCTATATTTCAAAACAATTTTTTTTAATTAATTTTAATATACCGGTTAAAAAAATTGCAGTTAAATTCCCTTGATCTAATAACTTATTTGTAATTGTATTAATATATTCAGTTAATTTTACATCAGACAAAAAAATGGAAGCAAATGCAATTCTGTCTTCTAATGGTATACCAACTTCATTCTAAAAGAATAATAGGAAATAAAATATTATTTATAAAACTTATTTCATGCATTTACAATGTTTATAAATTAAAATGCAACAACCAGATGAGTTAAATTTAAATATATATGAACAATGGAATTATGAAGAGTATGGTTTACAAACTAACCAAGGAATAGAAATTATTTAGCATAGGGAAATTGCTTGGAAAGCCTGTATTATTTGTAATTGGGTCGAATTGGACACTGAACGTCCAAAATTTCCTAATATTGCCTTTACAATCATAGTAATTAAAATGCAATATTTACTAGAACAGCATCATGTGAATCCGTTTCAGATGTTAGAAAAGCAAATGCAGCTCTTAAATATGGATCAGTTAATTTTTCTCTAGTTCTTGAACATAATTCACGCCACATGCTATACTTATCAGGACTATAACCTGAAAATATTAAATATAAAATGCTGAACTGAATAATAATATATATATATATATAAAAAACAAAAAATATTATGTTTATGATTTTATCTACATTAGCATTAGACTGGTAAACAAATAGTATTCCATAAAATTATTTTAAATTTATGTCAATTTTTTTTTTATTTAAGATAAAAGTATTAATTCCAATAGATTTAAAGATTGTTATTTTATAGATAATTATTTTAGTGTTTCTTCTACATTTCTTATTTTAATAAATAATATAATTATTAATTATATTTATTAACATTCTGCTAGCTTGAAAAGTTTATTTCTTACTTAAGTATTAATTGAGTAATTATTTTAATATTTTCATACTCAATTATGTTTATAAAATTTATCCTGCTTTTCAACTTAACTTTCATTACCAAATGTATTTAAAAAAAATATTTAATAAATGTTAATTTTAATTATTTGATATATTATATGATTGCAAGTTATGCATACATAAAATAATATTAATTTAAATGACAAAAAATATAAAATAAAATAGTTATTCATAATCGTTATTAGAAACTGGTCCAAATGTGCTGCACTTTTAATAAACTAGTTCAGTAAATGGCTCCATTATAGATATATTTAACTACAATATGGATATTTTTTGTTTCCAGCAATCTAATTTTAGATGTAAATTGCATTAAAATTATTACATGGAATATAAAAATGGTGAAATAATTAGATTTAAATTAGAGACTCAAATACAATTTTCCATTTTATTAATATTAACAATAATAATTAACATACCTACTTTAAATAATTTGTACTTTTATTATTTATTTTATTTATATAAATAAATAAATATATAACTACATATTTATAGTAATAGATTAAGTTCAAAAGAACAAAAATATAAATAGGAATAGAAAATATAAAATAATGAATACATGAAATGAGAAGTTATCAAATGTGATGGTCATTAAATGTATAATAAGAGTAGAAAATAAAAGGAGATTGAAAAAAATAATACAGGTATATTTAAAAGAAAATATATTACCTGATAAAGCCATGGCTATCATACTTAAATGTGGTTGTTGATTTGCACCTTTATTTAATGTTTCAATAGCATCACGCATTCGCAAATTAAAAATTGCAATTGAGGCTGCTCTAGTATAAGCATTTTCATTTTCTAATTTTCTGAGTACATTAGATATGTGTAATGCGTTATTACGATCAAAACCCCAATCACATAAAAATAATGCATTATCCCTTGCTGAACTCCTAAATAATTATATAAGGTATTTAAACTAAAATGATTAAATAAATAATAAAAGTATATTATATTAATGTAAAATTAATAGTTTTTTTTTTAATATTATTGAAACGAGAAAATATTATTTAATATCATAGTTATATTTATGTTTAATTATTGAACATATGAAAAACTTAATACATTTTTAAATACTTAATTTTTTTATCTTGTATATATATAGCTATATTTTTTATTAATAACGATATAATTAGATTATATATATGTTCATCCACTTAGTGAAATTGTTTTTTTCTAGAAGTGGATATCCAGTTATTAACATTATGAAAAGTATTAGTTTAGTGAAATTGACGTTTTTCCATACTATATAGACAATTTTTTTACCTTTTTCATGAAACAGATAAAAATAATTTTATGAACATTGTGAAGTACAGTAGACGCCGCTTAAAAAACTCACTTTGGGACCAGCACAAAGTGAGTCTTATAACTGAAAGAATCTTATAGACAAAGTGGGGAAAAAAAAATTAATAATGTATTTATAAATTTTATTTTACTACATATTTTGCTTTAATTTTAATACTTTGACACATATTACATATTTATTATTGAATAAATTTAATAATCCTGATAAAAAAAAAAAAAATAAAATTATAATAGGTAAATATTGTAAATAAAAATACATATTATAAAAATTATACATTAATAAAAAATTATTTTCGAAAAAAATTTCGTGTAAAAAAATGTACCGTTGACTGCAATGTATTTGCGTATGTACATGTATATGCATGTGTGCGTATGTGTATTAATGTACCTGTAACTACGATAACTGTGCAGCCGCTAGATAATCAGATACCTCACTATAATAACGATAATCATTGGGATAAATGTGAACTTTTATTTGCGATAAAAATTATTATACGTTATAAGATACCAACAGAAACTAAAAATAATCAATACGAATATTATTTAATTTTTCAATACCAATTTATTTGTAAATTATAACCAAAAAAGTTTATTTTCCACTATTTATTTTACAAAATGTGAGTCTTATAACCGATTTTTTTTCATGTATTTGTATACGTCCGGACTGTTCCAAACGATTTTGAGTCTAATAAGCGACTGAACCTTATATCCATGAGTCTTATAAGCGGCGTCTACTGTATTTAATTTATAAAATTAACTTTTTACAATTTGTTTACATATAAAATCATTTTTTCATTAAATTTAATTGTTAACTTAGCAATTAATTGTAGACATATCAAACTAAACAGTGAGAATATGTCCACACATTTGTCAAAAACAAAATCCAGAAATTCAGAAATAAGTACTATTTTTTATTACAAAATACCTTTGTTACTTTCTGCAGGCTTATATACCAAAAACTTTGGTTCCGTAACTTTAAACACTGCATACATGGTAATTAAATAATACTCTTAATGAGTTTTTGTGCATATGTAGATAAAAAAATAATCATATTATACATAATTATTATTTACTATATTTATTTTTACAATTAAAATGTTTTTAACTATTTAAATTCTTACATTTTAGATTTATTAGTTTCAATATTTTTAATCATTTGTATTTGTTCTTTTATGGTTATTTTTTCAGCTTTGTAATCAATTATTATAGTAACTTTTACAGAATAATTTTTTCATATACAATAATATTTACTTAACAGTTACTAAAGAACAACTGATTTAAGACAAAGTAATATCAATGACTAAATTATTTGAGAAATTGTTATCAAACGATAGACTGAAAATTTAGATAAAATTCAGATATAAAATGCACGTGTTACAATTATTTACTCCAAACAGTTTGAACATAGTATAATATTTTAAAGTATTATATTTTATCATCAGTGAGTATATTATCTATACAATAATTTTTAATTATTAAATAAATCTTCAATACCTAATCAACTATTAATTCAAAAGTAACAAATAATCTTTATCAAACAACTTTATTTTTATATTTCTACCACACAATTACCTAGTATTACAGATACATAGATAATTTCATAAAAATCTATTGCTAATCTTAAATAATATTAAATAATTAAATTTAAAATAAATAAATAATTTAAGCAAAATAAAGAAATAAAATTGTCATTTATAATGTTTAATTTCATATCAAATCATAAAATTTATCTCAAAATCAAATATTTTGTAATATGGATAATATTACTCTTATTCACTTCATTAAAAAAGTAGAACATTTTTCAGTATAGTGTAAAAAAAAACCTCAATTATACTGATTGGATACAATTCATGGACATCCAATACTTAATTATATAGAAAGTTTAAATTATCAATTATTTTAAATTATACATTTGTAACTCTTTTACAACTAATTGACCATATATTATGCTTTGTATACTTATACCAACATTTATTTGTTTTTAAGTGAATTTATTGGTTTAATTTTTCATTTGAGTAAATGTAATTATTTGTTTGCTTTTTAAAAGTAAGTTACCAAATATATTGGAAAAATAATTTAAAATAATGCATACCGATAAGTTTTTACTGTGCCTTGGATATCAACCCATTGAACATGTTTTAATTCTGACTTGTGCATAAGAGTTCCAGAATCTAAACCTAGAACAGTTCTATTTTTTTTTTATTATTATTAATAGAAATAAACTTAAGTATATGTTTAAAAAATATACTTTATTCCTGGAAATGGTACATCTGGAGTTGTTGGTACAATACCAGCTCTTGTTATCTTTCTATTTAAATCCAACCATGACCAAACATTTTTTATGATAGGATCATCTACAAGTTTAGAGTTTTCTGAAAAATCCTAAATAAAAAAATATACAAATTTAATAAAATATATACAAAATAACATTATACATAATATCTGTATATACTTTAATCCCATATTGTGAAAATGCACGCATTTTTATAATAGTTGAAATATCTTCGAAAGAAGAGTAAACTAAGTCTTTATCACTTATAAACTTAAGATTATGCTGCCCATAAGTCCAAGCTATATTTGATGTAGTAGACCAATTCAAAGTCATTCTTTCAAATACACAGTAGTCATTTAAAACACCTGAAGATATTAAATAAAATTAATTTAATATAAATAGTAAAAATTATTAGAAATATAACCTGTTTGAGAAATAGCTAGTAATCTATTTTCATGAGTTGGATGCCATGAAAATGAAGCTAAATGTATATTCCCTTGTCCAGGATGCACAGTTCTCTCTAACGCTGAAGGTTCAGTTTCTTCCATGCTTTGTTGCATATCATGTAAACTTATAGCCATAGTATCTTTTTGTAATGAACCCAATAAATTATGCCTAAAAAAGAAAGTAATATTAAAATAATATGGGAATTTATTCGTATACTGTATTTAAGAATTTAACTGTTTAAACAGAATTTTACAATATTTATAATTTTTAGTAAATACAATCAAGTATATAATTCAATATGTCTATAATTGTACCTGTACAACTTTGTTGATAACTAAATAATGACTAGTATTATTTTAAAATAACACTTTTTGGTCAAACAAATTTGAGATTTCATAAGTATTAATAAATATTAAATATTTACAAGTTAAATTAATGAATGAAAATTGTCTATCGTTGTTAATTATTATTGTTAAAATCATAAAACTATTTTTTTTGTTTTTAATCAACTATCAATTTTCTTAATACATTTTTAATATTTACAAAAAATTATAAGAAAAAAAATTAAAAATGTATAAAAAATAGTAAAGATTACAAGTAGTAATAATTTTAAGTTATAGCTTCCTAAATTTAACACAATTAACTATTGAGTGCAGGGACTAAAATATATACTTTTTCGTAATGCACACTTAAGGATTTTGTCATACTCCCCTTTCAAATGTTAACAGTAATGAGCAAGGCTCGGAACTTAATGCGCTAAAAATTACTAAAATATGCGTTAAAAAACATCAAAATATGCAGTAAAAAATTGGAAGATAATTACTTAAAAAAATAATAAACTGACTACTGACTAGTGTACACTGTACAATGAAGTCGCTTGCATGCAGATGTATGCAGTATTATAACAAACAGAAATAATATTGTGTATAAGTTAATAACCTAATGATTAAACATTATTGTTTACAAATTACCTATGGTTATACAATTTGTTTGTCATGTTACAAAATATTAATACAGTGGTAATTTGTATAAAAATAAATATGGGCCGGTGGTGACAGTGGCGTGGCGAACTCAACAATTTTCAGAGGCAAGTATATTGTGTCGACATCCACCCACATGGCCATATCTGGGGAGGTCCAGGGTGTCTGGACCCTCCCCCCCATCAAAATTTCTTCAATATTTTATGAATGTTTAAAACCCTTATTTATTTCAATACCAACATAAATATTTTCAGTCAAAAATGACATAAGTTTCAATTAATCATCGACTGCTTTAAATTTTATATCATAATATCATAAGAAAATATATTAATTTTAATAAAAGAAGATTAAATTTTTTTCTATCTTATTTTTAACCAAATATCAAAAGTTAAAATCTTAATTCAAAAAATATCAATATATATGTTTTGGACCCCTCCCAAAAAAAAATTTTATCTACAACCTTGCCCACCTGCCCCTCAAAAAACTGTGAGGCAGCCGCCTCTCGATTACCCATATTGCTACGCCACTGGGTGGTGGTCACTATTACGAGTTCTCAGTATTATAAAGATTATAATATTATTGTTAAATGCATTGGGAGCCGGAGCAATACAAATAATAGCCATGGTGAATTAATTTATTTTGTTAAATGATAAAAAACTTAGAATTTTGGTTGTCATATATCTAATATTTTATTATTATGCTATACATTTTTTTAAAATATTTTGTTAAATCCATGAAATATGCATATAAATTTCAATATCCACTTTCTAGACAAATATGCAAATGCCTAAAGTTCTGAGCCTTGGTAATGAGTAACACAGTTAAAATAGTTGGTATTTTAAATTTTGCTGATGATACATCTTAGAATTTTCAAAATATGTAAAATAATTTAATAAAAAAATGTAAAATTAAAAACAAATACCATAATATAAAGAATAAAACCATAATACACTTTTTAATTTCGTACTACATACTTAACATTTTGTATTTCACAAAGTATGTTGTACTGCACACAATTTTAGTCTCTGATTAAGTGTAATTAAAATAAGTACCAAAAAAATTGATCAATCTACCAATTACGTAAAATTTTGAATATTAAGGATGAATCTAAGATAAATTGTATCCTTTGAATTTTTAGACATTTTATTTCAAGCTTAATGAAAATTTTATATAGTAGTAAAATTTAATTATTTTAACCTTAATTTTTTAATTATTTTTATAATCTAACAATCTAGATAATCAATAATCTTGTCTTACTGATCTAATTATTGATTCAATATTATACAACAATACTTATATATACAATAGGCAGTCTTTTAAAGAATACTTTTATTATGTATTCAGAATATGTATTCGAATAAATGGATGAACATTTATTCAGAATACGTATTTGGATAATTTAAAAAAAATGTACTCAGAATATATATTCGAATACTTAAAAATGTATTCGAGTACTTAAAGTGTTCGAATACTTTTAAAATATTTATTTTTTTGCCAATTTATGTTAATTTTGGAATAGTTTGGAAGTTAATGTTTGTGGGCAAATTTTACTATATAATGCATAAAGTAAATGAACAAATAAATACTAAATATTACATATTTTATATCAGTTAATATTTAATATACCAAAAATACAAATATAGTTATTATTGAATTGTGAATACCAATTGTATTAAAAAATCCACATTTACATTTAAATTCCCCTTGATTTTAATATTTTTATCATAGGCGTGTCCACGGGAGGTGCAGGGTATGCACCTGCACCCCCTGCGATTTCAGGTGGCAGGAACTAAGATATTCCTTGGATTTAAAAATTGCCTATTCATCAAATTGAAAGGAAGTCCAGAGTTGAACGTGGACCATTCCAGCCTAAACTTAAGTTGTATCCAAGGACAAAATTTGGTAGTACTGTACGTAGTTTCAATAAATCATGGTTTGATAATTTTGAATGGTTGGAATATAGTCCTAAAGTCGATAAAGCATTTTGCTTTCCATGTCGACTATTTAATTCATCTGATGGACTCAATAAAGGCCAAATAGATTTTACATTTTCACGTCATGGTTTCAAAAATTGGAATAAGGCAACTACAAAGTTTAAAGACCATCAAAAATCTTAATCCTACATTCATTCCATGACTGCAAAAATAAATTATTTAGGTTCTAATTCAATAGATATTGCATTAGATGAGTCAAGAATTATAGCCATTAGTCAGAGAGAAAAAGAACGTTTACATAATCGCAGTGTATTGGTTCGCCTAATTGACATCATGCTATGTTTAGCTAAAAGTGGTAAACCCTTCCGAGGACACAACAAACAAAAGTCCAGTGTTTGTAAAGGTATGTTTTTAGACTTTGTAAGTGTTCTTAAAAAGTATGATGAAACTTTAAGAAATCACATAGATAATGGTAAAAAGAATGTACTATATACCAGTAATTTAATCCAAAATGATTTATTGAAATCTATTAACAATGTAATGAAACGTAAAATTTCATCAAAAATAAAAAATAAACTTATTTCTGTATGTGCAGATGAAACAAGTGATGTGGGCTATCGCGAGCAAATGTTTGTTGTAGTAAGGTTTTTTGATCCTTTGAAAAATAAACCAACTGAAATATTTATAGGCTTACAACGTTTACATTCAGTGGACCCGAGTTCAATTTTTAACAGTTTAACTGAAAAAATTAAAGAAATTAATGTAGATTGGAGTTCTGTTTTGGCTGTTTGTTTTGATGGAGCTGCTACATTTTCTGGCAAAAATAATGGTGTTCAAGCCAAAATTAAAATTGAAAATCCTCAAATTCAGTATATACATTGTTATGGTCACTGCCTTAATCTGGTTTTAGTGGACTCATTGGGGCATAAAAATCGTGTAGTGTTTGATTTTTTTGGGTGTGTTCAAATGATATTTAGTTTTGTTGAGGGAAGTCCAATTCGACATTCTGTATTAGAAAAAATATCTCAACAAACAAATAATAAATTAAAAACATTAAAATCGTTATCGACAACCAGATGGGCGTGCAGATCAGAAGCTATTGAAGCAGTTGATCATAATTATGATTCATTAATACAGTGTCTTTCAGAAATATATAAGACTACAAAATTAGCTGATGTGAGATTAAAAGCAAATGGACTTATCCACAATCTAAAAAGTTTCAATTTTATATTTGCTTTAACTGTTTTAAAACCTATTTTGATTCAAATTCGCATAGTTAGTGCAAAGTTGCAATCACCAGACATAGACCTCTTAGCTGCCGTATCAATTGTTGAAGCACTAAAGAAATCATTAACTGACTTAAGAACTGATGAAGACAACTATTCAACATTATTTGACAAAGTTTTGGACATTTGTAGTTCACAAAAAATAGAGATACCAAATGTAAAACAAAGAAAAGTGTCTAGTCGAATTGACAGCAACAATACTCAACATTTTATCTCTGACAAAAAAATAGAAATGAAATGTTTTGTGTACTACACAGTTTTAGATGACCTTTTAAACGGATTAGAAGAACGTTTTAGTCAAGAAACACTTTTACTAATAAGTGCAATTGGACGTTTATTACAGTTTAACCTGCATGAACATGACTTAATTTTACTTTCCAATAGGTTTAACTTAAATGACAGTGAACTTGAAGCAGAACTCAGATTGTTAAAATCGTTACCAGAATTTGAAATTGGTAAAACAAGCAAAACTATTTATCAGTGGTTAAATAATCTGTCCACTAATAATTTATGTAATAGTTTTCAAAATTTTTACAAGATATTAACTCTTTTTGTAACAATGCCAGTCACAAGTTGCTCTTGTGAGAGATCTTTTTCAAAATTAAGTCTGGTAAAAACAAAGCTGAGAAGTTGTATGACGCAAGATCGATTGGAGTCAACAATGTTAATATTTGTTGAACAGGAATTGGCATCTGAATTAGATCCAGAAGACATAATTGAAGAGTTCAAACATCTTAACAATACACAACGGCGACTAGAACTTTAATTATTTTAAAATTTTGTAACTGACACATATATATTATTATATAATATTATTTTTATTATTTATACATGATTTTATTTTAATTATTTACCTACTGACATCTATTATAATATGCCATCTGAAATAGGGACATTTTTTTTTAATATTAGTTATAATAATGACGAATTTGAAATTAACAAAAATTGTATAAAAAGGGGGGGCTAAGGGACTTTAGCCAGGTTGCACCCTCTGCGTCAAAGGTCTGGACACGCCTATGATTTTTATTAATAAAATATTAAAATACACCGCACAGTATATTAAGTAAATATATACAGACTACAGTACACCATAATTCCAATATAATCTTTAATATACCTACATAATTTAAAAATAATCATATTCATTATTCATTTATATTTCCACTGAAATGACTGAAGAGAAAAACTATTGTTCATAATTTATTATACACTGTATAAAATCTACAATTTAAAATTTAAAAATTGCAGCATTGTCCCAAATTTGAAACAATTTTATAAGTTCAGATAAAAGTATTTTTATAGTGAATAAAAAATACAAAAAAAAGTATTCAGAATACGTATTTGAATATTTTTTATGAAAAGTATTTAAAATAATATTTGAATAAAAAAAAAAAGTATTCAAATACTTTTATTCGAATACATTTATTCAAATACTTTACAATACTGACAATAGGATTATTATAAAAATAATAAATTTTACCTAGTTGGACACCATAGAACTTTAAGAACACTTTTACTTTGTGTTAAAGTTACAACAGGTTTTTCTAAATGTCTTGAGTCCCATAAAACTATACTATTATCACTGTATGAAACAATATGGTTATTATTGTACACTGCTATATCAATACCAAATACTGCACGAGTTTGTGTTATATTTGTTGACTTTGATGCATCTAAAAGAAACATTTCATAAAATTAGATATTTTTAAAAAAAACCACAGTATATGAATATATGTTCTAAAATAATGTACCTCTAATATCAATACAACGAATATTTTTACTATTGAAACTGACTGCTAAGACATGAGGAGATGAATTAAACCAAGCTAAAGAATGGGCAATTTCACCTGTTCCATATTCAACAAAAGGTTTCCCAGGAGATAATTCAGCATTTATTAATGGACTTTTTTCTACATCCCATATTTGTAAGCATTGATCAGAACGATGTTTATCCAAACCACAAGCTAACAAATTATAATTAACTGGATTCCATGAGATTGCATTACATTGTCGAGAAAAACGTGAATCTAAAAATCATACACAAAATAATCAATAATAATAAATTGTTTTTATTAGATTTGAAAATATTTTACTTGGTCCTAGTTCAAGACCGGCTAATGTATTATTTACAGTTGCTAAACCAAAAGTACAAAAAGTTACTTTGCCATTGGCATGTCCAATAGCCAACATAATTTCAGAATCTGGTTTTGGATAAATATCAATACATTTCACATAACGATGATTTGTACTTGTTGCTAATAAATTAGCTGTTGTATTAGAAGACAAAACTAAACCTTAAAATAATAATTTTCATAATAAAAAATAATATAAGTATAAAAGTATTTGAAATTATGTTTAGATATGATGATTAAATTAAACCTTTTGGAGTTTCACTATTTTTAGAACTCTCAGAAATAGTATTGTTTAGAACTTCATACATTCGAATGTCAGGTCCCCAGGTAATAAATTTATTTTTGTGAACAGGAGACCATTGTACTTCTAATTTAGGTACTTCTCCCCTAATATTTTAATACATTTCAAACGTAATTAAATGAGATTATAAAAAAAATTTGTAGGATAATTCAAAAATATAATTATAGACATTACCGGGAAACAAACATATTGTTAAAAACAAGATCCTTTTAACACGCAATTAGAACTATTTAAAATGGTTAAAATATGACATTTTAATCATAAAACTTTCCTTAAAAACATCAAAATATACATTAATAAAACCAGAGATTGATTTTTTTTAATGGTAGTTATATTTTATTAAAAACTAATTAAAAGTTTTAAATTTTAACTTCCAATAAAGTTTAAATTATATCACTTTCTACATCTTTATCGTACATTATCATATAGGTACCCAGTTTGATAAAAAAGATAATGAGTACGATTAAGTAATTAGATGTTCTATGGTAACATCAGTATTAAATCTGTGGTATAAGTATTAATTCAGTAAAAATAAAATAATTTATTATATTAATTTTGTAATGTATTTCAAATACGATAATCGTTTATTATGAAAAATATGTTAACTGTTTTACATTGATTTATGTACAAATATAATTTTGTATTAACATAATATTGTGTTTACGTAATTAATGAGTAATAAGTAATTTTACTTTTTAAGCATTACAATTAACAAATCACAATAACTAAACATAGAACACAGATAGGTATAAATTATAATTGCGAGTTGTAAATTTAAATTATTGTACTCCTAGAAAATATTAATGAGTAACTAGTTACCGCGGTCGTGTTTAAAATACTGGTGTACCATGAATGGCTGTCGACCCGACCCGACCCCTTTCACCACCATTCGTTATTTGCAAGTTACAATCCGTTTTTCGTCTAGTCATTTTTTTTTCAGCTGCGTTGTTTAAATCTGGACTTTCTGTATATGACATTTATACAACGTATTCTGGTAAGATATTTAGTTATGTCAGATTTAATTAATTATTTATTGTTTAGTCGAAAAGCCTCATGTTATACTGGGACTCTCCCTAATGGAGGGGTTTAACTTTTTTTCTGTCCATTTTGTGAATTATATATGTGTGATAAGGTTTTAAATTACACAATTCAAGTTAATTTTCGTTTGTGTAATAATAACTAACACATTTTGTGATTTTTGAGATATTTTTTCGATTTATGTTAACTACACCTATTATATACGTTCTTGTTGAGTATCGAATGTGAATGCTGAACATTTTTATCATGTAGATTACCATTTATTTAAATTATATAATATATTCTTTATTATTTTTATAATATTTATTTAATTTAAACAATACATGTTTTCGAAACAAATATTTTCTAATTTGGTTTCTTCAAGGCTTCTAAGCAATTCTTAATAGTTGTTTATTTTTATTAGATTTAAACTATGATTAATATTACATTTAAGTATATCATTTGATTTCTTAGCATATTGTTCTTTTATAATACTTGTAAGTAATCAATTTTTTTATCTTTGCTTTTTTTTTTAATTTTATATTTTACTTGAATATTGATTAATAGCCTTTATTAATTAATTTTAGTTAATAAAATATAGTAATATTTCTTTGCTTATTAATTTAGTGTTAAATATGGATTAATTATAAGTTGATTTTTTTTTCACATTTGCTTCTATAATTGAATTTACCTTTTATATAAACAGATACTTATCTACTAATAACTCAACACTTTATAATAATTATCAAGTTCTCTTCTTTATTAACCTTTTTCATTAAAACTTATTGTTATTATTCTTTATAATCAAGTCTTGTTTGTTTATATTAGTTAAGAATTAGCTGACATTTTGTATTTTAAATCTTCTGGTAAATCCTATTTCATTTTTACATTTATGATTCCTATTAAAGAACTAATTTACTCTTTTCTAAATTGTAATACATTTCTTGAATTATAATTAGTTTAAATTTTATTATTAAGTTTAATATATCAAATTATGTGCTGTAATTGAATAATTCATGAAATTTTTAATTTATTGTTAATTTTTCTTACATTTTTGATCTTGTTTTATATCATTCAGTTTAGTATTATTCTTGAATTTGTGTTATTATAAATAATAAGTATCATATAACTTATAATAGAAAAGTATATGAATTCTTTGGAATTAACATATTTTTTACTTTTAATTACATAAATATCCAGAAAGTAGCAACATTGTCCAGCTTTTCATGTTGATTGTATTGTGATTGAAAAGCAGAATTGCGTTGATAGAACCTTATTATATTTTAAAAATGCACATTAGTAATGTTAATACTATATGGTTCACGGCCTAGTACCACGCTGCTTGTGGCCCACAATTGGTATCACTGATATTTTGTATCATTTTAAGTAATTTTTTTAAAAAAAAATGTAATGGTTATTGTATGTATGTACTAATAAAAAATACAGTTGTACATAATATTAACTTGAAACATTATTGTATCTTAAAATTTTATTTTATCTAGATACATATTATAATGGCAGTATTATTTACATTTATTGTTCATCCATATTTAAATCGAAAATATATTTAATTATTTAATTATAGTATGATTATTTAATATTTCTTAGTATTTGAAAAATTAAATTTTTTTTTTTTTTTTTAGAATCTTAATTTATTTTTATAACACTTTGGTAATAAAAACAGTAATATATTGTATACCAGTATCTGGTGTGAAAAAATTAAAAACCAAATATGGACACTTCAGCCTTAGATTCGAGTTATGACTTTTTGATTGAAGATGAAACTAGTTTAGAGATGAATACCTGTAGTATTTGCAAGTAAGTTTGTTTTTTATTTTCTTAATATATTTCATCTATTAAAAACTAAATTTTTTTTTTTTTTAGAAATCCATACAAGTGCCCAAGGGTTCTCAATTGTTTGCATGTATTTTGTGAAAAATGTATCTTGCAACTCGTAAATGTCAATTCAATGTTTAGTGTTCTCAATATTATATGCCCAACTTGCAGTCAAACTACAACTGTGAGTTTATATTATTGGAAAATATATATACTTTATTAATATTTTTATAATTTATAATTAGACTCAGTTAAATCGCGGAACCTTGGTATTGCCTCAAGATTATGTAACCAGAAATATTCTTGAAGTTGAAATGATAAAAAGTCGTAAACTGATTTGTAAATCTTGTAGAGATAATAAAGAGGCAACTTTCAAATGTATAACTTGCTGCAATTTTTTATGTTCAAGTTGTGAAAGTATGCACAAGGTAATGTTATGATTTATAGTAAATATTTCTATGTATTGTAATGTTAGTCAATTTATAGTCAATTTACTAAATTCTGGACTAAATTGAATGTTTTTGTTAGATGCTTGTTACACCAGGGCAGTATCATTATATGGTATCAATTGAAGAAATGATTCAAAATGCTCTGGATAAAACTGCTCTTCATAAAATGGTATTATGTGAAAAACATAACAATGAACAAATGGTGTATTATTGCAATACTTGTAATGTAAGTGATTATTAATTTAAAGATTTTATTTGATCCAAAATATATATTAATAATCATTTTATTTTTTTAGTATTTTATTACCATATTTAATTTATCGTCAAATTTTACAGGAGTTGGCTTGTACTAAATGTCTTAATGTACCTACTCCACGAACATGTCAACATTCTTATGATAGTATTTCAAATGCTTATAAAAAATATGGAACTGAATTAGAGTTTTTAGTACGTGAAAGCAAGAATGTTATGAAAAATGTTTCAACTTTACCGGCTACTTTGGAAAAAGCATTGGATAACCTACAAGCTTCTCATGATCATATAAAATCAAATGTGGAAGAAACTTTTCAAGTAAGTACAATACTTCAATAAATAAGAAATTATTTTTAACTTTTTTAATTTTATAGAGTTTTAAAGCTGTATTAGATTCTTGTAAGAATGAGGTATTAGTACAACTTAAATCTGCCCAAAAACAACAAGAGTTAAAGATCATGGATAAATTTGAAGAGTAATATATTGAATTAGAATTGTATTATTAAATATTTATTATTTAAATTTAACTTTTATTATTTCTAGAGTGAAGAAAATTACTGATAATATTGGTGGTGTCCAACAATTTGCCACACGTCTTTTAGAAAATGGAAGTGAATCTGAAATAATGGCGTTAAAAAAATTAATTTTCACTCAGATGTTGGAGTTATTTAGTAAAATACCTGATGTAAAAGTAGATGCAAAACTTTTGTATACTCCTGATGTTAATGGTTTTGAAAATCATTGCCGTGTGAGTTGCTGTAAATTATTTTTCATTGTGTTATCGATAATTAATTATTATTATTTTTTGCATAGAAATATTTTGGTCAGATCATAACAGAACAAGGAATGAATGCTGCTATTGGACCTATCTCTCCTCCTACTCCTAGAACTAATTTTTTAACAGATCGTGTTTTTCCACCACCGATATCAACCTCATTAGTTGAATCGCAGATGTTTGATTTAAATTTGGCTCGTTTATGTTCATTAAATGTAGATGATAATCCTATTCTATCAACTATGTCACCACCTGATTCTTTAGGTGATTTATTAAATACACCTACAAGTTTGGATAGTAGTTTTGCTTTAAATAATTTACAGGCACTTGCTAAACTTGATAATATGAATATCAACAATAATAATAATAGTAAGTTCAATAATTTAATAGTTGTAAAATGTATTATTTATTTTTCTATGTATTAACTTAGATATGCTTCAAAGCTTAATGAGTCCATTAGCTTTAAATCAATCTGGCCTCGACCCATTTGCTGTAGGTAGTGTATCATCTTTAAGTTCTCCTACTACTACTTTATCTCCTGGTAATTATTAAATTTAAAACAAATCAACTATTAGCTATAAAAATTGTTAATTTTTTCTGCATAGATATTTATGGTGTAGCTACTAACTCAAATTGGTACAGTAAAGAACGAAGAGCTCCACCAACTCGACCAAAACGCCATTCAAATAGATCTAGTATGGATATAGTAGCAAAATTTGGTATTATGGGTAATGGTCTTGGGCAGTTTCATTCACCACATGGGTTTTGTCTTAGTCCTACGGAAGACATTGTTGTTGCTGATACTCACAATCATCGTATTCAAGTAATTATTTACTGACATTTTTAGTCTTCATCAAATATATCACTTTTATGATTAATAATTTATAGGTATTTGAAAAAGATGGTACTTATAAGACTGAATTTGGCAAAGAAGGCAAAGAAGATGGATACTTATTTTATCCAAGAAAAGTAGTTTTTTTAAATCATAATCAAATTGTTGTTTGTGATCGTGGTTCTGATCGGTCTAGAGTTCAGATATTTGAGTACCCAACAGGAAAATTTATTAAAAAAATTCAGGTTCAATTTATTGAAATTGTAGCTGGAGTTGCTGTGACTGCACATGGGCATCTTGCTCTTGTTGATAGTGTACACCCTACAGTATTTGTTTTAAATGTAAATGAAGATAATGGCATAATGAAATGGTTTAATTGTGCTGCATATATGGACGAACCATCAGATATAATTGTCAGAGGTATATAATCCATTATTTATAAAATTAATTAAATTTAAAGACTAAATTTTTTTATAGATGAAGATTATTATGTGTGTGATTTCAAAGGACATTCAATTGTAGTGTTTAACGATGAAGGTGTATGTTTACGAAGAATTGGTGGAGAATACATTACTAGTTTTCCAAATGGTATAGATATTTCGGAAAATGGAGAAATATTAGTAGGAGATTCTCATGGTAATCGTTTCCATGTTGCGGTTTTTTCTCATGATGGTACTCACTTAACTGATATGGAGTGTCCATATATTAAAGTAAGTTTAATTAAATTTTTCGTAATAATTGATTCTGGATGCGACACTAAGTTGTTAAATTTAATTTTTTTTAATAATTATTGATTCTGGATGCGATATTAAGTTGTTTGACATTGATTGGAATTAAAACATAATCTTAATCACTTTCCAATTTTTTGATTGATAAGAAGGTATATTATTGGTTCCTGATATTATATTTTTGTTAGTATAACCTTATTTAAAAATGGATTGGCTATATTATGATAAATTAATAATAAATTGTTTATTTTTTAAATTTATAATGTTATTCTTTTTTTAAAAAAAATTGATTTAATTTAATTTTAGTGATTAATCTATGTACCTTAATGATAAATGTTGTAATCATTGTATTATAGTTTATACTTAAATAACTTATAATAAAACAATAAGTATAATTTATAAGCCAAAACTATTTATTAAATAAATTATATATATTTATACAATTCAAATACTAGTTATAATAAGGCTATTAAGGCCCTGGATATAAAAACCCCGAAAGATTCATTTAAACTTGTAAACCAAAAAAGATTTCCTTTAAATTTTTCTTAATTATCTAAGAACTTCAAAAAGGCTTTTGAAAGTATTAAAGCTAGTAAAATTATCTATTTATTTTTTGATTAAAATTTCAAGTTACAAAAATATGATATTAATATGAAATTAAAAAAAAAAAATTAAATTAATTAAATATTGATTTTTCTTTCACTTGATTGAACATTGATTTTTTTTTTTTGCTTATCTCATCAAAGGAAAGATGGTAAATTGTGGTTAGAAAAAATTAACATTATACAATCTGTGACAAAACTGATAGATACTTTTTACAAGCTACAAAAATTTATTACTAACGTAGTACTACTAAAGCAGGGCATTATTCAAATAAAATTTTATTTAGATGATTATTTAGATAACATTTTATTAGAATAAATTTTTATTTGGATGACTTTTCACAATTATTTGAATAAAAAATCTTAGAGATTTTATGTTTCAATTTTGTAAGTATAACTATATGTGTTTTAGGTTTCTCGTTGTTGCGGATTAAAAATAACTAGTGAAGGCCATATTGTTACATTAGCTAAAAACAATCATCATGTTCTTGTCTTAAGTGCAACTGTGTGATTCTAAAAAATAATTCAAACTCTTGAAATGTATTTGTTAACTTAATTTTTCCTGTTTTTTTTTTTTAAATTTTTATTTATAGTTAATTAATTTTTGAGACTGCTTGAAGTGCATTTTTTCGTTTTCTAGATTTAACAAATTTATTTTAATTTTTAAGTACATTGACATTTTACTGACTTTTTCTTTTTCTTTTATTATTATTATTATAAAATTAATTAATTTATTTCCTCAATAAGAAAAAGTAATTTTAGTTCCTATTTATTAAAGGTAAAAATCTATGAGCCATTTTTGTTCTGTTTTAAAGTCTCATAAGATTAAATTTCTTGTTATTTTTTTTTTTTCAAGATTTATCAAATCGATTAATTATATTTTTATTTTATATATATATAAATATTTAGATGTATACACATAATTTTTTTTTTTTACTTGTTTATATGGACGTTTACCTCGTTAAAACAATCTAGTGAACATTTTAGTCAAAATAATTTAAATATAGACATTTTTTTTTAAAGTTATACATATTTATATATATATATATATTTATAATAATAATTAAACTATTATTATTATTATGTACATGCATGTTATTTAATATTTAATTACTTATTGATATTCTCATTTGTAATTTCAATATTTAGATATTATTTTTTATTATTTTGGATACTAATTAGTACCAATTTAAATTTTATTTGTTATTATTATTATTTTCACTAAAATAACAAAATAGTTTATTTCTTTTTCGCTCAAACTTAAACGTTCCGTGATTATAAATCAATTTTGTTAAACTAATATTAAATGAATTTTACAATTTTTAATATTTTTGGTTCTTGGTACTGTATTATAGATTTTTTGTTATTGATCTATTTATCTAATCCTAAAACATACACCTAAAACTATCTTTTTATTTTTTTTTTTTTTTACTGGTAATCTAACGTAGGTAAATATAAATAAGTTCAATAAATAATTGTTAAATTACTTAAATGTAATTTGTTAATATGATTTAAATTGGGTCCAAGAACCAAAATGTAACAAATTGTATGTATGATTCATAAAAATATAATTTTATTTGTTTTACAAGCTTATATTAATTTGTTTTGTTAAATAATAATATATATATATGTATGAAAAAAAAAAATGTAAATATTTAAGAAGACTGAATCACTAAAATATTAGGTGATATTTTTGTTATTTTTTTTCTTTTATTTTAAAAACTAAGGAAATTGTTTTATTTACCGAATTATTTATATCGATATTATATTATTATGTACTATTTTTAAGTTGCAATAAAACAAATTGTTTACTCTAGAGTTTAGATTAGAAAAATATTTTTAAAAAAAACGAAGATAACAAACAATATAGGTATGTGAAATGACCTTGTTGATTCCTAATAAATCATATGATACATGTGGTTGGTTGAATTGAATTACAAAAAACATTCAGTTATCTTTTGATTAGTCACGGATGTATTTGTTTCATAGTGATTTTCAATTTAACAGTCATGACTTTAGTTACTAAATATTTTAACTGCAATATTTTAAGAGAAGGAAAAATTGTGGCAGAAGACTTATGGGTTGATAATGGACAAATAGCTAATCCAGAAGTTATATTTTATGATAAAAAAAAAAATCCAGACATTGAAATTGATTGTCTAGGATCTTTAATTATTCCAGGACTTATAGATTTGCAAATAAATGGTCAGTATAAATTTTAAAATCTTATTATTTATTAATACTCTCATGTATATTTTACTTTTCAATTTAAAAATGTATGTAGTTCATCAAAGTAAAATTTTACAATATATAGTTAGTTGTAAAACATCTATTTTAATTTGTTCGTAAATTATTTGAATGACCTAATTACTAAAGTAATGAACTTTAATCAACTATTAATAAAAACATTTGATAAGATGTACATTTATAATTATATATATCTACTAATAGATTAATGATTATTTATTTTATTTAGACTAATATTAATTTAAAAGAAATTAAAATATCTACTAATATACATTGGCGGATCTAGAGGGAGGATAAATTCCTCCCTGTTAGAAAAAAATTAAAACTAATTAAAAAGCTAAATAGATAATAAAAATAAAATTTGACAGTTTTAGTGTACTGTTGTCAAATTATTTTTGGGTCGACTCAAGGCATCCCTACATACATGTATGAACAGTTATATAATATCTTCTATAAAGTGCCTCGACCATAAAAAGATACTGGTCCACTCTTGCTTATATATCCTTTTATAATAAAAATATAAATATTAATTTCAATGGCTAGTCTTACTTATTTTATAACCAATAAAAATAGATAATTATTTTATTCATTAAAAATTATATTTAATATTAATTGTATTTGTATTTAAAAAAAAAAAAATTCTTGACAAGTTTTTTGAAAAAATATGTTCTCTAAAAAATGTATTTTCTGTAATTGTATAAGTAGGAAAGATACCTATAAAAATATGTTCAATAAATTGAGTAAAAATGAATTATATAAGAGTTTTTATCTTACGTGAAGATAGTGTTTAGACATTTGATATTAGGAAGTTTATGGATTTGGAAATAATTAATATTATAAATTCAAAATGGTTTTCTATCTACTTAAATTTTAAATTTAAGAATGTAAATAAATAATACATTTTTATAAATTTTACATCAATAATTTTACCTTAAAATGTGTATTATTAATAATCAGGGTTGAGATTTTATAGCATTTAAAATTGCATAAATATACGCTATAATATTACCTTAAAAATCGCTAAATAAGCTCAAAATATGCAATAAAAACAACAAAAAAAAAAAAGAAATTTCTTATTTAATAATTTTATACGAGCACACGAGACGAATGTGGATTGTATAAAGCGAATTCTACACTCGTTCGTTGATAATCGGCTATTAGTAGTTTTAATAGAAATCAACAAAAAAAAACCAACAAAGTCAGCACATAATAAAAATTAAAACCAAATAACTAAAACGAAATTATTGTATTATATTATACCTACATATATATTATTGCTGTAATTGTACAGAGTTGCATCAGCATAATCGGTATATTTACTTAATCTATACATTTATAATTTAATTTAAAATTAAAATTAAAATTTTGAATTTTGAAAATTCGATTAACACATATTTTAAACACATTTTTAGCTTACTCTGCTATTTTTTAAGTATCTCGTAAGAAATATGCAAATGCTATAAAATCCCAATCCTGATAATCATATTTTTCCCAAAACCAATAAATACATATATAATTAATATAAAGGACATTATTCTTTTGAACTATAAAATGTATTTATGTAGATAATATTTTAAATTTACTCTTGCAAGTCTGTAAACATTTTTTTAATATTTTTTCTTATTTCTGGAATACTTTTTATTAGAATAATTGAAGCTTTTATTAATAAAGTTATTAACTGTCAATTATAAATTTAATTATAATTTATTGTTTTCTTTGGTTAGTATAATCATTGATTATAAATATTTATAGTTAATATTATTATGTTATTTGTGAAACTATGCATGTACTTACAAACTTACAAATTATTATTAGCTTATGGCTATTACTTAGTGATCAAATATATGTATAGGAGCTTTTGGGATTGATTTTACTCATGATAGTGGTGAAGGACTTGAAGTAGTTAGAAAAGGATTATTGCAATATGGAGTTACTGCATTTTGTCCGACAATTGTATCAACCACTAGCTTGAATTACCGTAAAGTAGGTATTGTATATAAATGTACTTTAAATATTTAAACTTATTTTTAGAACACAATTCAAAGTTGCTTATGTCTCATTCTTTATTTAATTAAGATTGCGCTTAAGTACAAGTGTACATTTATTGCAAGGGCGTATTTGAGGGGGGGAAAGGGGGAATTTGCCTCCCCATGACTCGTACTTTTTTTGAATATAATACATTGATTTATTTAATAAATGTAATATATAAATAATTAGGAATATAAATTACTAGTCTATCATTATAATATGATAATAAATTCAATATTATGTCAATTTGGTCACGCGTATTAATTTTTGTTTATCTTCTTATATCATAACATTTTTGGTTGTGGAACAGTGGTATTATCTTCCATGGATATTGCTACGGTTATAGACATTTACAACTATAACTGAGGTATTTATCAGATAATATAAAATAATTTAAAGTATAGAGTAATATTTACTCTATTTCTTACTCTATGATTTAAAGTAACACTTTTTTTACCATATATTTACTAGTTGGTCATTTTTGGTGCATTTATGCATACTGCATATTTTTGTATTTATTATAGCTATATAAGCCCTAAATAATCTTACTTGCCTATTTCTTTTTTACAACATAATATCTGGTACTTTTTGTTTTGCATAGGTATTTAGTCATTTTTTGTGCACAAATGCATATATATTTGTGTATTTTATGAAGCTAGAAGCCCCTAACCCAAATAATAATCATAATTGACAATATTTGTTTTCATATTCTTTAACTTGCAAATATTGGCCAAAAATGTATTTTAGTTAATTGAAAACATGGTTAAGATCAAGAATAGGCAAGTATAGACTAACAGGTTTGGCTTTGCTGCATGTGCATAAAAATATTATTGTATCAATTGATGAAACAATCAATAAATTTGCCAAAATGAAAAAAAGGAAATTTGAAATTTGTTAATAAACTACCAATCTGTTTTCTACTTAGATATTTGTTAAATTAAGTTACCTATCTTAATTGTTTTTTTTTATATAGGATTCAGACAGAAGGTATAATTTTAATATAAGAACTATTTGTGTTATTATTATTAATACTTATTTTATATGCAGTAAGTTTTAAATATTTATTAAATAAATATTTAATTCAATTTGGTACTTGTATTTTTATTTATTCACTTGAATGAACAACAGGAATATGAGCTGTAGGTAATGAACCATTGGCGCATCAAGGAATTTTTAAGGGGGGGGAGGTCCAAAATTTTTATTTTATCTGTTAATTAATCTGTTCTCTTAATTATAATTATAGTTTAATTAAATACCAACAAATTACTGTTAATAACTATAGTAATAATCACAATAGTTATACACACATCACACATTTTCTTTACAAAGGTTTATTATAATAGGTAGGTACTATAATTTGAAATAATTTTTTATTTGGTAGTAAAATGCTATAAAAAAAAAGAATACATTTAATTAACAATAATAAATAATATTAAAAAAACTGTATAAATTAAACATGGTTTATACATTATAGGTATATTATGTAATTTATAAACTTTTTATATTGAAGATAATGGGAAATTAAAATGCACTATGTACTATTTACTATTAAACCATTGAACATGTAGAAATTTCAATGAGGGGTCTGGAACAGAATCCCCTGGGTATGCCCCTGTAATGAACTATCAATTATTTTTAAGTTTGTATTGAAGAAAAATTAGTTTCGCCCCCCCCCCCCCTATGGCCACAACTCAAATACGCCCTTGATTTATTTATTGTTTACCATATTAAAATGAATTAAATATTTTCAAAAAATATAATAAAAATAAAAAATATTCGATCAGATTATAAAGTATTACAATAGCATAATAAATTTAATATTTATTTCATTAGATTTTACCAAAATTGAAACGTTGTCATGGTAGTCAACAAGGAGCTGCGATTTTAGGAGCTCATGTTGAAGGTCCATTCATCAGTAATTTAAAGCTTGGTGCACATAACATGTCTAATATAAAAACCTTGGAAGATAATAATTTATTTAACACATATGGTAGTTTGGAAAATATAGGAATAGTTACTTTAGCTCCTGAACTTGATGGTTCAATGGAGGCTATCAAGATACTATCTAATAAAGGAATTGTAGTGTCATTGGGACACACATCAACAAATATGGAAACTAGTTTACAAGCAATACAAAATGGAGCTTCATTTATTACTCATTTATTTAATGCAATGGTTCCTGTATGTATAACTTTATTAAATAAGTTAAATAAAAATAATTAATTCAACTAGTTGTTTTTCAGTTTCATCATAGAGAACCTGGTTTGCTTGGATTAATTACATGTCTACCAAGTGATGAAAAGCCAATATTTTTTGGCATAATAGCTGATGGTACTCATACTCATCCAGCAGCATTGAAAATTGCACATAGCGTCAACCCAAAAGGACTTGTATTGGTAACAGATGCAATTTCAGCTATTGGACTACCGGATGGAATTCATCATTTAGGTGATGAACAAATAGAAGTAAAAAATTCAAAAGCATATATTGCAAATACTAATACATTGTGTGGGAGTATGACTTTTTTGGATGAGTGTATGAGATATTTTATAAGTTCAACAAGTAAGTTTATTGAATTACTTTTATATTATTTATAGTATTTTATGTGTTCTATAAACTAAAAAACTTTATTTTTAAAGATTGTAGTATTGTTGAAGCAATTGAAGCAGTAACCTTACATCCAGCTCAAGTATTAGGAATACAACATTGTAAAGGTACACTTAATTATGGAGCTGATGCTGATTTTGTATTATTAGGGACTAAATTGAATGTTCAATCTACATGGATTAATGGAAAATGTGTTTTTGAACACAAAAATAAACCAGGTTATATCATGAAAAAAACCACTTAGATATTCCACTTACAGTCCCAATTTATCAAATTTTATTTGTTAACTTTTGTATTTTATTATTTATTAATCAAAAATACCACTTATTAGAATAATTAAATAAAATTTAAACACTAGACATACATTTGGTGAGGAAAATAATATTAAAAATGAATTATTTTACATTTACTGTCTTCCTTCTGGATTTGATGCCCCAGCCACCATCATAAATATGACTAATGGTACTATATACATCCACTGAAACAAAAATATTAGTAATAAGAAGAAAATTAATTTTTTTTTCCAATTATTATAAATTACTTAGCAATATTTTAAAAATATTATATTAAAAATTGTATTTTATTATAAGAATTAAAATCTTAACTCACATATTTTCCAAGCATAGATTTGTTATTATTTGATTTTCCTTTTTCTCTTGCTTCTCGCTCACGCTCCATCTTATGAATATATGTAGCAGTATCAGGTCTACAAAAAATGCACAATAATAAATTATTATGAATTAATTTTGTAAATAAAAGAACAAAGTACACAAGTTAGAGTTGGATATCAATTTGAAGATTGTAATATTTAAGTTCTTAAAATGATGTATGCAACTCTTATTAGGAACACACATGACAATATGTCACTTATTATATATTTATTTTATAAACATAAAAACAGTAAAATAATTAAAATTTATATCAAAATTACACAAGTGATTTAATTCAAAATATTATATTGAACATGATTTACAATATTATCATTCATAAATCATTAAATTCTATGAAATATTTACATTTATACAGTTGAAACCACTTATTATGATTCTATATATAGATAAAATATATTATTTTAAATATAACTTTAAATCTATTATACAATATATATAATTAAAATCCCTAGTTTTCTTTTATGCAATATATGTTGAATAAAAAAAAGCTAAATACATACACAGGACTGTTTTCTGGTCTTCTAAAAAATACAGTAGTTGTAAATTTATTTGTATTCAATTCATTAAAATGATCACAGCTGTTAGATGTTGTAGCCAAGTTAACGGCAAACGGAGAGTCTAGATGATCTAAGTGCAATGTTAGGATATCTTTCAACTTAGATCCAATTATTAGACACGCTTTAGTAAATGACAGAAAACTGGTTTCTTTTCCAGACAATGTTTTGACTGTAACTTTCAACCTATAAATTTCATTGTTAAATGCTAATTCCTAAAACAATTATTTGTAATTAATTAAATAAATAATATTAATTATATAAATAATATTTATTATTAATTTACACAACATTGGTTAATTTATTACTTTTAGTAATTGTAAATCTGAATCATTAATATTAGTTTCGGACAAAACATCATTTTTAGTCTCTAAACTGACAGCAATGGAACTACGCTTGGTAAAACCAGCCCCAGGAATCAATTCATGTTCAACATAAATATCAGTTATTGTATCATAACTTAAATCCTGATGATCAAAATTTATAAATTAAACTAATACATTTAAATGTCAACACCATATAACTTACGGAAATGCATAGGGTAATATTAACTATACAAAAAAGGCACAATAATTTTTTGATATTAATCATATTTATACTATTCTTTATGATTGAAAAAATTAAATCCTTACATAATAATAAAATACAATTATTATTACGAAATAATAATTATTTTTTGATATAAATAAATAAAAATCAATACTATAAAAATATTATAATAATATATTTATTTTAACGATGAAAATGTTGATAATTTTATCATACTATAAAACGTATATCTTTAGGTATAACAAAATAATATATTTATGTGGTCACAGATATTTATACTATACTCAAAGATAATGTAAAATTTAATATCTATTAATACAGAACAATTTATGACTATATCACAAATATACTAATATATATATTAAATATATATCCACCTTGATATATTTAGTCCGTAGACTATATATTTATATATTGTTCTGTATTATGACCATGAAAAACGGTCTTGGAAGAAATCTTCTAAGACCATAAACTGAACCATGGTTATACACAACTGAAATTGTGAATGTAATTTATATGGATTATGTTTTTATTTATTTTGTTTCCAACCATGATTAAAGATAAACATATAATATATAGATTTTTAATCGTGATTCCAACAAGCGTTTGATTTTGATAGCGAATACTGAGCATAGATAGGAGATTAATGAGTAAGTCAAAACATCTAACACGTGCGTATCAACCATATTTTTAAACTAATTATCAATTATTGAATTATTGTTGTATCATGGAATCTCATATTAATTTTCACGAAATGAATATAGATGATCGCCTTCTTAAAGTATGTATAGTATTCATTTACTGATTTATTAAAATTATCTAAATCATGGTATTTTTTTATAATTTTTTTATTTACAGGCGATAGCTAACAATGGGTGGACTGAACCCACTTTGGTTCAAGAACGCGGTATCCCAATTTTATTAGAAGGCAAAGATATGTTAGTAAGAGCAAGAACTGGCTCTGGAAAAACTGCAGCCTTTGTAATACCAGTTGTACAAAAAATATTAGAATTCAAAGAAGTAAGACAACTATAATTATTAATTATAAATGATAGGTAATAATTGTAATCAAATGTATTATATTATAGAGGAACTCTGATAGTTACAGTACGCAAGCTTTAATCTTAGCTCCAAGTAAAGAACTATGTACCCAAATTCATAAAAATATTCTTCAACTAACCATTAAATGTTCAAGAGTAGTAAAGTGTGTTGATATATCTGCTCAAGTTTGTTATTTACTGTTGTTATATAAGTACTAAGAAAATTAAAATTTAACTTAGCTATATGATTTAAATAGATTGATATGAAAGAACAACAGCCCTTATTAAATACACCTCCAGATATAATTGTAGCTACTCCAGCTAGAGCTCTTCTTCATTTGCAAGCAAACAATTTTACTCTTGATAAATTACAAACATTAGTGGTTGATGAAGCAGATTTAGTTTTCTCCTTTGGTTATGAAGAAGAAATAAAAGAAATTATAAAGTTAGTTTAACAAAATGTAAATATTTTAAAATAGTAATTGTTTTCCTTTTCAATGGAATATCATATTTTATAGATATTTACCAAAAGTTTATCAGGCTGTTTTGGCTAGTGCAACATTATCTGAAGACGTTTTAGAGTTAAAAAAGTTAATTTTGCGTAATGCTGTTACATTGAAATTACAAGAACCAGATTTAGCTCCCTTGTCACAATTAACTCATTACAAATTTAATGCTGAGGAAGAAGATAAAGCAGTCATATTGTACTGTTGTTTTAAATTGAAACTTATTAAAGGCAAAACCATAGTATTTGTTAATACTGTAGATAAGTGTTATAAGTAAGTGATGTTTTCTTATATCTATATTTTAATATTTTAATTTTTTTTTTTTAATATTTTAATTTAGGTTAAAATTATTTTTGGAACAATTTGGTATTCATACTTGTGTTTTAAATTCAGAACTCCCTGCTAGTTGCCGGTATCATACCATTTGTCAATTCAATGATAATATCTATGAAATAATTATAGCTTCAGATGAAAAATTTTTAGATGAGGAACACGAAGTAAATTCAAATAAAACTAGGTAAATTAAAATAAACACTATTAAAAATTTAATTAATAATATTTTAGCTGTATACAGTTTGGCTAATAACTAATAATAAAAAAATAAGTACATTTATTTTTATTTTTGTTGTAGCAAACGTAAACATGATAAAGAATTTGGAATAGCAAGAGGAATAGATTTTCAATTTGTATCTGTCGTTATTAATTATGATTTTCCATTAGATATTTATTCCTACATACACAGAGTTGGCCGTACAGCTAGAGGAAAAAATAAAGTAAAATTTACTTTTTTATTCATATTTTTATAATATTTTAATATTTTTTGTATTATTTTAGGGGACAGCCATATCTTTTTTAAATATTAAAGAACAACATTTATTAAAAGATGTTGAAGACTATATAAAACAAGGTATTTCAGAAGAAAATGACATATTTCAAGTTTTTAATTTTAAATTGGAAGAAGTCGAAGGATTTAGATATAGAGCTAAAGATGCATGGCGAGCTGTTACTAAAATAGCTGTCAGAGAAGCTCGACTAAAAGAAATAAAATATGAAATGTTAAATTCAAAAAAACTTAAAGTAAGATAAATTATTCATTTTAATTACAAAATTTTCAAGTTACATTTATTATTTTTTTAATAATTTATCTATTTTTAGCGATATTTTCAAGAAAACCCTCGTGATTTGCTATCACTGAGACATGACAAGGCTTTACATACAGTAAAACTTCAAGATCATATGTCTAATGTTCCTGATTACATGATACCCACTTCTTTAAAAGATTTTATACAAAACCAAGATGAAGATAATAATAAAGGAGGTAAAAAGAAGGATAAAGAATATTATAAGAAATTACAAGTTGGATATAAAAAATATCAAGCAAAAAAGAGCAATCCTCTTGTTGGAATGGAATTTACTGGATTGAAGAAAGTTTGAAGTATATTTATATTATTTAATATTCCGATGTTTTTGAAAAAAAAATTTAATTTTCATTATTACCAAGTAATAAAAATGATTTACTGATTTCTTTTGGTATCTATTTATTAATAAAAAATAACGAGAATACATATATTAATGATACATATTTCAATTGTATATGTTCATTGGTGTAATGAATGATTAAAATGTCAACAGTTGTGTAATATAATTTTTTCTATGTAAAAGTGGAACTCATAAAAACATTTTATACATTCCTGAATACTTAATAAAATTATTTACTTCTGAAATATTTTGTTTTCTTGAGGCTCTTGCAAATAGGGATAGGCAAAATTACTTGAACATTAATTTTTGATGTATCGATATATCGACTTTTACAATTTCAGTGTATGGGGGAATAAACATTGATGTAACAATGTTTTTTCAATGTTAATAATGTAGTAAAAAATTGTTCTTATTAATGCTATCATCTACTATCTGCTGTACCTTATATGTGTTACCTTATTAAATACTTAAACAAAATATTAAATTTAGTTAATTGAAGATGTATAATATAGTATATTTTTTTTTTAAATTGGTTTATTTTAATAAAGTAGATAAATAAAATTATTGAGCTTTAAATTTTTACAGTAAATCTAAAAAAATATATTAAATTATATTAAATAAAAACCTTACCAAATACTTAAATGTCTTATTACTTTATGTAATATAATACCGAAACTCGCGTCATATGCTATCTACCACAATTGTTTGTTGGCGTTGTATGTTATCTATAATTTTCCACCCCGCAATCTGTAGATTATACGTGTCATCTGGGCGTTATTACATTAATGTAATTTTTTTTCATGTCTTCAAAAAACTGGTCAAAAAGATTCTTTAATGCAATGAGTGTACCCCGTGTTTTTATGCCATATTTTTCTTTTACACGTCTCCACGTGGACTCTATAGATTGGATATTGGCCCCTGTTTCTGGATCAATGAAGTAGATCTGATGGTTTAATTGATGTAAGCCCTCCATTTATTTTCTGATGGACTGAAATGTTTGACATCCTTTCTTCTGACAACGTAAGCACTTTTCTTGAATAACTTTACCTTCTCCATCACGTTTATGAGAGTTTTTCATATACTCCTCAAGGGTTCCTCCACATACTTCATTATTTGAATTAACTTTTTGGCATACTTTAGCAATGGGCAAAACACCACGTTGTTTTAAAAAATTGGTATAAATTTCGTCATTGTAAATAACATAATCTCTAAAAATCAATAAAATATTCCATTTTGATTTAACAAAAAATATTTACATAAAAATAAAATAATTCACTTATAATAAAATAATTTAATTTGAAAATAATTTAAGCAAAAACCGAAAGGCATATGTCTACTAGCTATGATATGTGTAAAGTGTAGGCTGTAGAGTGTTCATGTTTATTATATGGTTATACCTGCAGTATCAGTCTCCGTACAAAAGTAGATATCACCTGAAAGGTGGATAGCATACGACGCGAGTTCCATAATATCTTAGTGTACAATTTATAAAAAATAATGTTATAGTTTAAAAATATTGTTTAGCCTCGAAAATAAAATTACATATCCCGTAAACATTTATTCATTGATTGTAAGAATAACAATATGTTTAATTTTTTAGTGGTTAATACAATTTCTTTGTTAACTACAGCTACAATGCTTAAATATTCTTACTGCATTGTGCGTTTAATGCGTATACTTCGTCTTAGAACATGACCTTATGCGATAATTGCACGATGACAATAATAGGTTGTCGATAACCTTTTTTTAATTTGATTTTCTACATCCTCTACGTATATGTCAACAGCCCTCATAACATTCTCAATCGTTACTAATTATTTTTTTTTTTTGGTTTCTCTTTTTTCCCTTCGACATTAATTTTCATAACCATTCTTACTGTATTTGTTTCCTCTTGTCTCATCACATACCCAAACCATTTCAGTCTATTTTCTTTCATATTTTCCACTATTGACCCTACTACAATACTACCTCTCACATATTCGATCTTTATTCTATCTTTTCTTGTCACTCCATTCATTCATCTAAAAATTCTCATTTCCACAGCACTCATAATCTGTTATATTCTCCTGTCAACCACTTAAAACTTCGAACCATATAGTATAGTAGATCTCTCTACACTCCTATAAAATTTATCTTTCTGCTTTATTGGATTTCTCTTAAATTATACAAAACGCCCGGCGCTTCTCCATTTCATCCAAACCCACTTAATCCTATATCTTACATCCATGTCAAAGCCCCCATCATTTTGTACAAAATATCCTTAATATTTAAAGTTCTTGACTTCTCTTACCACATAATCGCTTATTGTCATGATTCAATCCCTTTCCGTCAAGTGCTAACCTCCATTCATCCAACCTATTATTCATTTCTTCCAGAATTTCTCCTACAAAAACTATATCATCAGCAAACACACTATGGCAGCGATTCCCAAAGTGTGTTCCATGGAATAATCTTGAGGGTTCCGCGAAATGTACCTGAATATTGAGAACACTAATTGCAAACAATAATCATGAACTATCTTTAAAACAATTTTTGGATTATTTGTTTTTCAATTATTAAAATAAATGCAAATACAATTAATTACAGAATTGGTGTTGAGTTGGAGTTAGAGATGTTGAGATTCGATGAAACAAAAAATATTTCTTAAGGGTTCCGTAGTCGTAAAAATTTGGAAACCACTGCACTGTGGTATCTTGCCCTGCATATCTTATGTGACTTCATTCATTACCTTCTTCTTCTTCTTCGGCTTTCAAGACCATGTCGTCCAACAAATTTGTCTCCATATTTCCCTATTTAAAGCTAACTCCTTCCAATCCAATCCTGGTCTCACTTTCTCTATGTATTCTTTGATCCTATCTTCCCAGCGTAACATCGGCCTTCCAAGTGGTCGTTTTCCTTTCGGTGCATTCTCTTGTACTATTTTTATCAATGACCCTGTTTTTCTCCAAGAATATCCTGCCCACTTCAGTCTTCTTTTGGTGATATCTTCTTTAATGCTTGGTTTTTGATACAAATCCTGAAGTTCCTTGTTTTTACGTATTCTCCATTCACCTGTAGGTTCGTCTATACATGGTCCATAAATTTTCCTCATGGTCCAAGTTTCCGACCCATATATGTCACCACTGGCTTGATAAGTGTCTGGTATATTTGGGACTTCAGATTTTTCGAGATTACTTTAGATCTTAATAACTTAGTCAGGCCAAAATAACATTGGCAGCTTGTATTCTTAATTTTATTTCCGTACCTATTTCATTCTGCTGTGTAATTAGTGTACCAAGGTATTTGAACTGCTGCACTCTTTTAAATTTGTAGTTTTCGACTTCTAGGACCTCGTTTCGACAGCCTATTTGTTCATGTCTTTGCACGACCATATATTCAGTTTTCTCAGCGTTAACCTCTAGGCCTACACGTTTAGCATCATTTATGAGTTTTTTGATTGTTCTTTAAGTTTATCTTTGTCTTCTGCCATCAAGACTATATCATCTGCATATACCAATATTCCAATGTTATTTTCTCCTAGTTTTACTCCTTATCTAAGGCTGCTTCTCTAACTACTTTTTCTAATACTATGTTGAATAAAACCGGTGATATGGCGTCACCCTGCCTTAGTCCAGTTGTCACTTGAACCGTTTTCGATATGGTTTGTCCTACTTTTACTTTTATGTCAGTATGACTAATACTGCACTCGACGAGGCTTATTAACTTACTAGGCATTCCGAACTCTTCTAAAGTCTTGATTAGGGATGCTCTATGTATTGAATTATACACTTTTTTGTAATCAATGAAAACCGTATGTACGCTTTTGTCATACTCCCAAGTTTTTTGTAACACCTGGCGTAGAATGAAGATTTGATCTATCGTGGAACGGTTTTGCCTGAAACCGGCCTGGTAGTCTCCTATAATGTCTTCTGCCCAAGGTTTAATTCTGTCAAGTATACAGTAAGATAACATTTTATACGTTACATTGAGCAGGGCAATCCCTCTATGATTGTTGCATATTTGTTTGTCTCCTTTCTTGTGGATGGGGGATAGACTAAGGCTGTTTTCCATTCCTTTGGTATCTCCTTTTTTTGCCATATTAAACTTATTAAACGATGAATATATTTAACAAGATTATCCGCACCTGTTTTAAGTAGCTCTCCGGTGATCCCATCTTCACCGGGTGACTTGTGGTTTTTTAGGGTTTATGTTTGTTTCGCAATTTCCTCTATCATAGGTTCGGGATAATCTTCCCTATTCGGTTCTTTATTTTAAATATGAATGGATTAGGGTGTTCTCTATAGTTTAGCAGCTGGTCGAAGTATTGAGCCTATTCCTCGACTATGTCGTCTCTATCCGTCAACAAAGTATCATTTTCGTTTCTTAAAAACATTTCTTTCGGTTTAAAATCCTTGCTTAAAGAGCTGATCTTCTTGTATAGGTCTCGTGTCCTATGATTTTTATAGTCCTGGTCCGCACTTTTCACTATGTCTTTGATAAATTTTCGTTTCTCGCATCTTATAATTTTGGTTGCTTCTTTTACCCTTGTTTTATATCTAGAGAATTTTTTTCATTTTGAATATCCTTTAACCAAACTTCCCTCGCTTGCTTCCTACGTTGTAGGGCATTTTCGCATATCTGGTTAAACCATGGATTCCTCATAAATCGTCGTTTCCCAACTGTTTTTGTCGCTTTGTGGATCACATTTCTTATAGCAGACTATAAGCTTTCGATATCATCATTCCCATTATCTATATGTTCATTATTAAACTCGTTTGATATATTCTTACAGAAATCTTCACAAATTTTAAGGTCACATAGTTTTTGTGTATCAAAGAGTTCTGTTTATTCTTCTTTTCTCTTTTTTGTTTTCTTCAGTTTTACTTTAAGTTTCCCTACAACTAGGAAGTGATCAGATCCACATTCTGCACCGTGGTAGGTCCTTACATCCAGTACACTATTGCTGAATCTCGCATTCACCAATACATGATCAATTTAGTTAATGTATCTGCCATCTGGGGACCTCCAGGTACCTTTATGTATTTCCTTATGTGGAAATGATGTACTTTATATTTTTAAGCCCCTTTCTGTAGCTAATTCGATTAGTCTGAATCCATTGTTATTTGATAGCTGATGTAAACTATTCGATCCGGTAGTTGTTTTGAAGCACTCTTCTTTACCAATCTTTGCGTTAAAATCCCCTAATAAGATTATAATGCAATGTCTGGGTATTCCCTCTAACGTGGATTCCAACAGTGAATAAAATTCCTCCTTTTCCTCATCGCTTTTATCTTCAGATGGTGGGTGTGCATTGACAAATGCAATGTTGAAGAATTTTCCCTCCACTATGAGGATAGTTAGTCTGGAATTCACTACTTTTAAATCTTTAATTGCGGATGTTATTTTCTTTTTAACAATAAAGCCGGTGCCTCCTTGCCTGCGATTGTCACATTGACCGAAGAAAATTATCGTGTTCCCTATTTCTGTAGAGCCTTGTCCGCTCCACCTTATTTCTTGTATAGCTAAAATCTCTAACCTATACTTATTAAATTCCTTAACTAATGTTAAGGCTGCTCCTGGTTGATATAAAGTCCGTATATTCCATGTTCCAAAACGTAGAGCCGATTTCCAGTTTTGATTACGTCACTCCGTCCCGAGGCAAAAAGTTGGATTCCTGAACGACGATTTTTTAGGATAGTGGGTTGTTGGCTCACTGATCAACCCCTAACCTGGAGGGCCAGACCACTCCGATCACCTAAGACCAGAGAGGGGGGTTATTGCAGCACCCAATTAAGGGCACTGGGCGATGGGGACGCCTCTTTCCCAACGTCTTATCTTCATTCATTACCACTGGGAACAAATAAGGGCTTGGAGCCGATCTCTGTTGTACATCAACTTTTACGTAAAATCTTCTGTAACTCAACTCAAACTCTTGACACTAGTCCTCTAACCTTCATACATATCCTTAATCAATTTTATATTTATTTTTGGGACCTCTTTTTCCATAATACCCACTTCAAAACTTATCTTGGTACTCCGTCACGCGCCTTTTTTAATTCTATAAACACCGTGCATAGTTTTTTATTATTTTCTCTATTAGTTGCTTAACACAAAATAATGGCTCCGTTGTCAATTTTCTTTGAATATAATCAACTGATTTTCTAATATTGATGTCTCACCTCTTATTCTCTTCTCCGTAATCTTTTCACAAATCTTCATATCATAATTCTTAAGCTTTATTCCTATATATTTCCCGCTTATTTATTGTGTGTAATTTTATTTTTTTATGTTATTTAATATATTTGTATGTTTCCTTTGCCTTTAAATATTGGTACAATAAAACTCTTTCTCCGATCTTTTGACATTTTCCCCTCTATTAGAACCTTATTAAAAAGATCTTTCAACCTTCTAATGCTTATATTCCCTACCATTTTCTACACGTCTATATGCGTTCAATCTAGTCCTACCGCTTTTTTATTTTTCATTGCCTTAACTGTAACCTTAATTTCCTCTTCACTAACTAAACCTACCAATCCTTGATTCCATGAAATACTGTTTAAAGCTTTTTTGCATACCCTTTTTTCCGTAATCTCTCAAAATATTCTTTTCATCTCTTTTTCATCATTTTTTTATCCTCTTATCCTCATTTTTTATTCATCAAACATTTTAAAGTCCCGGGATCGCTTTTTTCTCATCTTACCCAATATATAAATTAATTTTTTTTTATTTTCGAGTTCTTAGCCTCATATAACTTATCATACCTATTAAGCTTCGCTTTGCTTATCACACTTCCCTATTTTACATACTAATATAGTATATTTTTATAATTTATCCAATATTTTTTCATCTTGCTTTTCTGCTTCAACTTAAATTGCTTTTCTTACTTGTTACTATTATCTGAATCTTCTCATCCCGGCACCATGTTTCTATTTTTTTTTTGGTATACTGCTCTTGGTTTCACCAACAACCTCTTTTGCTATATTCTTGACACAAGTTTTCATTCTTTTCCAAACCTCATTTATGTTTTCCTCAACATTCAACACAGATTTTTATTTTATTTTCTTTATTAATTCCTTTTCTTTATTTCTTTATTTCTTCGCACCACCTAATTCTCAATTCTTTTCTAGTCTTCCTTTTTTGACATATATTCACCTTCATCTATTATACCATACCTCCATTATCATCAATCTAAGTTGTGTTTTTACACTCTCCTGGAATTATTTTTTTAATATTTCACTCTTTTTATAATATATCTCTTCCACATAAAATAATCAATCTGCGACCTGTTTATTTCACTCTTATATGTTATATAATGCTCTTCTCGTGTCCTAGAATAACTGTTGATTATTGCAAGCTCATACGCTGATGCATAATCCAAAGCTTTTTTTCCAGCCTCATTCTTCTCGCCATATCCATACCTTGCATGCAATTTTTCATACTCTACTCTCTCACTACATACATGTCTATTCATATCATCCACCAATCACAGTATCTTTATTTCCTGGCATTCCTTGCATCACCTCATCCATCTCTCATCAAAACTCTTCCTTTTCCCTTTCTTTACATCCTACTTGTGACGCAAACTCACTTATTACGTTTAATACTTTTTCCTCAAATATCAATTTTACCATAATAATTCCATCACTTTTTTTTCCTAAGTCGACTACTTTTCATCTTCTCACCCAATATTACTCCAACTCCATTCCTAGTACTAGTCCTACTTGAATATATTATTTTATAAACCTCTCTTATTTCTTTCGCTTTCTTTCCCAACAAATATTAACTTTCCTCCTCTTCAATACTACTGCCTTTTAACGTTCACACATTCTACATGCTTATTCTTACTTTAAACTAAGACGCTGATTTAAAACGGGACGTAAAAAGTGATGCTCCTACACTGTTGACGTATTGGGTAGACTTAATATGTAGATCGACATATAACTAGTGAAACAGCTACTAACATCCCGTGTATCTGACTCCTATCACACACTTCATCATCTAGCCCTCTTCCTCCTCTAACTATGATATTTCCAGTCATTTAACAAAGTAATAGATAAAAGAAATAAAACGCTTGTTATGAATTTGAATATAGCGGTACCTAGTATATTATTCTATTAATCTATTTATATTTTATACATCTATGTCCAGTTTTTAACAATTTTATCATTTAAAAAGTTAGTAAAATATTTTTAATAATATTATGGATAATAAACAAGTGAATCTGAAACAATATTATTTATTAATAAACAATATATAAAATAATAATTATAATTTATCTGTATCAGTAAACATAAGACGTAGAGCCTTCTTGTAATGTGCTTTCATAACATTATAGTGATAATCATACATTAAAGTTTTTGAGATATCTAGTACTGTGAATCCTATAAACATAATTAGATTATCATAGTGAGTTTTTAAAAAAATAAAAATATATACCTACCTATATAGATTGGTTTGTAAAAATCAATGATTTTATTTTCTAATAAGACTAAACACATGTTTTCACTATACGATGTGGCATACTTAAACGTAGGTTGGTTTATTAATTTCTGTACACGTTGTTCGCTAGATACAAGTTCCATTTTTATTCTCTTTCTCATGCTTTCCATCGTTTTCCCTATAAAATAATAATAATAATAATAACATACCGAAAAATTCATTGTTTAAAAGTTTAAAAAAATCTTTCTCAAACTCGTTTACAGCTTTCTTTCGCATTTCGGTGTTCAGACTTATGTATTTTGCTAACCATAGCGACTGATTGAACTCAATAACTTTATGTACCTAAAATAATTAAATGATAAATAAAATAAAATATATGAAGTAAAAATAAAAACAAATGTTTACTTTTTCAACTACCAATCCGTTTTCTATAGCCTGTTGCAAATTTTTATAGTGTATAATATAATTTTTCTTATGATGAAGGGTAACCATAAGCTTTTTTATTTTTGAGTCTGATGGTATAACGTTATTCGAAAGGAAAGAAAGGTCATTATGTAAATCATGGAGTTCTTTCGGGTATGATATGTCTACTTCAAAAATTCGGCCAATATTTGAGGTGTCAGTTAAATCATATAGACCGTCAAGCGTTGGTTCAACCCATTTAAACCTACCATATGGCATGTACTGTGACATTGCCCAGCCATATAAGTTATTACCTAGGATATATAAAATTATATTAAAACATATAATTATTAATAAGAATATTCATACTCACAATCTTGATACATCAGCCATGATTTTGGGTTTGTCGGGTTAAAATCGGGTTTCTTGTTATTTGCCTTTCCATACCTCATACTCCGTAAACGTTAACCGATACGTTAGGATTATTTTTTTCGAATATTTTCACTTCACTTAATGGTGTCGGAAATGTAAGGCCATTGAAATTATATTTGTTTTCGTGAATATAATAATTATTATTGACTCTACGTTTTTTCTCTCCCGTGATATGTTTGGCTAGAATAGCCCATTTAAAACACTGTTCGTCGTTGTTTTGCGGGTTAATGGTAGCTTTTTTATTTTCTATGTAAGTAGGTAAAGGTAGATACGAGGAGCCACTTATCGGTATATATTTATATATGCCTAGTGATACACCGTCGATTTTTTCGAGTGTGAACCCATTGCCTTTGCCCTGGTATATATCTTCCTCGCATAATATATTTTTAAACATATTATTAATTTCATTTTCAATATCTGTATCCGCTAGAATCGCCCTGGCAGAGGTCTTGAACGCTCTGTTCACGGACGAATTATCTACATGTGGTTTGTTATATGTGGCTTCTAGTTTAAGATTGAATTTGAGTGGTTGTGATGATGATTTTAAAATTTCGATTAGTTCTGATTTTATTGAGCTGAGAAAGATAGAATGATTGAATATATTTCCAAGTTTTTTTTATAATACCAAGTGATAATATTATTGAAAGATGATCCAACATTGATAAAACCAGTCGCATTTCCTACTAAATTTAAACTGGCTCTCTTAATCTGACCTACATCCTTCGAATTTCTCCGTTTATAATTTTCAAGCCCTACAGAGAGAAAAAATAACCCCGTTAGATATATAAACTGTTTCAAACTAGAATTATCTGATTTATATATAATAAAAAATCTTACCTTCGCAAAAACCGATATTTTCAGCGCCTTCCATCGCCAGCACACACAATTCGTTGTCGGAATCAATAATTTCATCTGATGGACCGGCAGGTATGTCGGGAACAAAAATCTCCGGAGCGATTTCATATTCATTACGTTGAACAATATTAGCTGAAAAATTGTAAACATTTAAAAAAAAAAAAGTTATATGTATACACTTCTAATGTTTAATTAAATAATAATTATTAATTCTATTGTAAAATTTATCGAATGAAAATGAAATGTAATAAGCTTTTTAAATATTTAATTAAAAATACATACCATGCTTATTCTTCATGTGTTTTGTCAAATTATTTTTACGTGTAAAAGTCTTAAGACATATTTCACACGTAAACTGAACATTAATGTGGAATTTATTGTATCTAACTAAATTATCTTTGCTAGAGAACATTTTGATACACTGATCGCAATTAAACATTTTCAAGTTGAAATAAAAACACTGAAAACTATAGTAAAAATACGCAAAAAATCACTGGGAACTTGTAAGACATACTGAATAATATCCAGATGGTTGTTCCGGTCATCGAGATTTTGTTGTGAGTAAAGGCCGGCGGTACTATTCATCGTATTTTTATGGTTATACATGTTATATGTGTGTGTGATATTCTTTTTGTACACCCTAATGAAATATATTAAAACAACACACCTTTATATAACTATGACTCATACTTATATATACCTGACAGATGTTACAATTATATGCAATAATTTTAAAAATAATAAAGTCTTACAATATAAATCCGCTAAAATCAAATAAATCTTATCAATTTATTTCCTGTGATAACATTTTCGGTTAGAGGTATGTCGATAAAATATCGGTGATATAATCTCTTATCAATTTATACCTCGTGATAACATTTTAAATAATATATGTATGAGGAGAAGTAAAATGAGAGTTGATGTAAAATATACAGATGGCGTGTGGAGTAAAGAGGGTGTATTATAGGTATGCAAACGATGGAATACGAAAAAAAAAAAAATTAAATAAGGGGAAGTAGTAGGAGGGGTGATGAAGAATATGACTTGACAATTTTCCAATGAAAAAACATGGAGGGGTTAAAATATACATAGTTTACGTGAACGATCGGACGGCTGTGAAAGAAAAAAAATTATGGCGGCTGGGTGGCTGGACCGGTAAGGTGGCTAGGTTAGGCTGGCCTAGATCCCCTTTTTCATACTACTGTTTTCTTGTAGTTCGTCGCCGTCCAAGGCATCGTTGTAGGGTTTACAAAGATATTCTAATGCTGAAAATAGAACCGAGTGTCAAACGTCAGAATGATCAAAAACAGAAAGAACAGTTTACATTTGTTTTTCAGAAAAATTCCTAAGAAAATCCATAAAATCCTTAGGCCGTTTTCATACACACCGATCAAATCGGAACTGGAACCGGTACCGGTTGTTCGCTTTTTTCATACATACCGGTAAAACCTAACCCGGTGCCGGTTTCCTTTCACACACAGCAAGGAAACAGTTTTTTACTCACTTGGGTGAAGTCGTGTTTTAGTTATTTTCTCTGTTGTTCTCAACAATGTGTGCTGCTCTTAATAAACGCCATCTGTTTGGGCTACTGTACCTTCGAAGGAAGTACCGAAGATACAACATTTAAAGACGATATTGGATTCATCCTATGTTTAGTGTAAGGTACTTGGAAGGAATCATATAATATCAGTATAACTATTTTTAGGTTTTCCCTCCGGTACCGACAAGATCTGTGCTAACTTGTGTGTTCACGTTTGTACAAGAAAACATTGTGATCGATAATTCAGAGATCAGTCCGGCATTCGAATTATCGAATTCAACGCCGACTGCGAATTCTGGAATCATCCACCGGTCCGGTCTATGTGTGAAAGCACTAACATAATTGCATTACATCCGACACCGGCGCCGACTCCGGTTCCGATTTTATCGGTGTGTGTGAAAACGGTGTGTAAAAAAAAGATTTATTTTTATTTTGTTTAATTTATTAGTTAGAATTTTATAGTATTTTTTTTTTTTGAATAAAAATTTTTGCTTGACTTAAAATTTTTTAAATGCTTATTTTAGTGCTTATAATTATGTTTTAAGCGCTTTTTTAAGCACTTATTTTAATGATTTTAAGTGCTATAAGTTCCGAGCCATGGTTATAACAATAACAATAAAAATAGTTATAACAATAACAATAACAATAAATGTTGGTAAAATTTAAGTTGTACCAATTTATCGACGACTTATCATTCTGCACAAAGTTTAAAAATAGACGAACAAACCAGCATAAATGCATAATAAAATTTGATTTTCGAAACTTTGAGATGAGGGTGCTGAACATGTCCTTAGCACCCCCACAACAAAATTTTAAATATCTCGGGAACGATGAAAGCACAAACGTCGGGAATAAGTGCACAAATCAGCACAAACGAATGACCGAATTTTAATTTCCAAATATAAAAGTGAAGGTGCTGAGAATTTCCTCGGCACCCCCACAACAACATTTGAATACCTTGGGAATGATGAAAGCACAAACGTTGGGAATGAAGCACAAACGAATGACCAAATTTGTTTTTCGAAATTCCAAAGTGGGGGGGGGCAGGGAAATGGAGCTTATTTAAATATTATATACGTTATTAAAATTAAATAAATGTAAAACAAAAAACAGTTAATTTCATTTTTTAAACAACTGTTATTTAAAAAAAGATGTTTCAAAAATGTTAGTAATAATTTAAGTATCTACCTTAAAATACATAAAAGATGTATTTGTATTCTGTATAATCAGTGGCGTATTTTCAATTTTTTCTGGGGGGGTCCACAGTTTATACATAACTAATATAAACTATAAATTATATTGTAATAGTTACGTCCTTATGCAGTTTTTGGAATAAGTTGAACTGTAATAATCGTATATTCTTATGTAATATTATATATATGTACCTATATATTGTATTTAGCATTATATATTATAAAGTATTGTTATAAAATAAATTCCAGTTGTCTCGATTTTTTGGCCAATTCCTCTATCACTTCATCAACAGTAATGTCAACTTCCCTGTGAATGTTTAACATAGCCAATTCTGCCAATATTTAAGAATTGTAGGTCTTTAAATTAAAATAATAAGAATTAGAATAAAGTGAACAGAATTAATTTTGAATATTTTTATTATATACTATTTTTTGAATTTACCAGTTTTTTTTAAATTAAAATAGGTAGCAGTAATTTTCTATCTTTTAACTTTTTGAAGTTCATCCATTAATACATTCAAATTTTAATTTTCAGTATTTTTTAACAATTAATCTCATTATAAATAATTGGAATTGCTAAGATTAAACCAGTTTCTCTTGATTATAATATTTCTTGAAAGAAATAAGAGAATGAAAAAAGAAGAACTTACCTACCAAATTTGAAGTTCTACAAACGTTTTCAAAAACCTTCCTGCTTAACCCAAGTGACTACAATTATTAGACTGGACCAAATAAAAATGTATTTTTTTGCCACAATTGTTTTAATTTTACTTTGATGTTAGTTTTTTTTCATATCATTCTTATATTTTATGCTTAATTTAAGTAAGAACTAAGAAAGCACTTTTTTTTATTTTTTAAACTTATTCTTGTGATAGTTAAGTAATTATTTATTTTCAAACTTTCCCTCATTGAAAAATACTGGGTTCACCTCTAATGAGAATATATTTCCTCGTCAAAATATTATTGAATAGAACGATGGTTATCAGTAGCTTTTATAATTTTTTAGTTCGTTGATATGGTCGAATATTAAAGACGCGGATCAAAGATTTTATTTCGTTGACAAGCATAAGTTAATTTTATTAAAACTTGTAACAATTTATGACTCCTGTGTACATTTTAAAATGTCCTTGGAGACGGATCATTTTCATACTCCACTAAAAAAAAAAATTGATTTTTATCAGCTATATGTACATTAAATATGCATAGAGACGTGACTAGACTACCAACTCTGATAGAACAACAAATCATATGGGTACGTAGAGGGTAGTTCCAAATTAGGTTGATACCGATAACCTGATAAAACTTTTGTTTGAACACTTCAAGATTAAAAATTATTTTTTGGAAATAATAATTTAAATTTTTATGACTATCTTAGTTTTTAATTTTTAATTATATATTATTAAACGAACTTCTATTTATTTTCCTACACTTAATATGGTGAGACTTATTAAATGTAAATAATTTGTTTAAAATTATTTATTTTAATTTTTCAGTGTGAAGATGAATGGTCAGATATTGAACGACAATTTGAAAAAGAAGGAATTGACTATAATCGATTGAAGACTGAAGACAAATTAATTCATGTTTGGAGATGGTTAGTTGATGCTGATATTAATTTACAAAATGCTAGAAAAATGATTGAAAAACTTCGTTTGAAACAAAATGAAGAATTAGAGGTAAGTTCTATTAGATTTCTTAAGAGATATTTTTAATGATTATATTATTAGGATATGGAAAATTACATGGTTCATGTACGAGTACTTGCTGATAAACGTATTGATGATATGGAAAAAACTATGTCTATTTTAGCCGAACAAGTTGCAAGACTTGAATGTGAACTAAATAATTTAGAATCAATAGATGGTGATAATGTTTGTGACAAGGTGAGAAAAAATAATTTTCAATTTAGAATTTTAATGTTTTTCTATGAATATTTAAAGCATTTTTATTTTTCTTATTTAAATTATAAATCAATGAAAATCTTTGAACTTAATATAATAGTACATAGAAGTTATTATTTTTACAATTGTTTTCAATAAAAACCATTTGTTTATAAATGTAATAGCTCCATATTACCTTATATTTTCTCTATCTTTAATAGAATTCAAAATCATTAGATGAATCAAAGAGTTCTGTTAATTAATAATAACATTTAATTTATTTAGGTTTCAAACTTGATTCTTGCATATAAATCTCTTATGAATGAAGTAAACGTATTAAAAAAGTTCAGAAGTTTTGATATCAATGGTATGTGTAAAGAAACTGATGATGATTTAATGATAGAAATGATCAAGGTATAAAATGAATCTTTAATATTCCTTCTAAAAGTATCAAAAATGTTGATAAATTATTTGTTTATAGATTTCTGCTGAAAAAGAATCATTAAAACAACGAGTAAAAGAGCTGGAAGATTGTATTAGTATTTATGAAAACTCGACTAAAACAGAATTGAATACACAACTAATGTCATTGGAGGTAATAACTGATACATTTTTATAATAAAATTAAACAATTAATAATTTTTAATATTGGTCCTTTTTAATTTTAACTGCGGTTAAATCTACCATTGTTTTAATAAGGTTACATTTAATAATGATTTTAGTACAAAGTTCATAGCTTCAATAATATATAATTAAATATTAATAATTAGCTGATAATCATTACTAAAGTCTTATATACTTCCTAATCATAGATATCTGAAAATTCAAACAAAAATGATGGGAAAGATTCTTTATTAGGTAAAGGATTTATAGTATTTGCATCCATTTGTTAATTACAATTTTATTGATGGTTTTATTTTTTTAGCATTATGAAGTTGATGAGTTATAAAAGATTTTTTATATAGACACATTATAAATGCAATTACTATTGTTTTTAAACTGTATTATATAGGTATTATTGCTGCTTTGTACATATGTTAATATGTATAAGTCTAAGATGGATTCATACCATTGTCAATCCTACAACTTTCTTCACTGCCTCTGTAAACTTTTTGGTTATCCTTAATAGCACATATGTATTAAGTACTTAATTTTAACATAAAATTATTACCTATAAAAGTTTCTTACCCTAGACAACTATTTACTATACCCGACTTATGTGTATACAATGTATATTATACATATTATAAATAACTCTTAGAGCAGTTATGTTCAACCTTTCTTCCATGATGAGCCACTTTGATAAACAATTATCTGAGCGAGCCACCAAATACAAAAGTACCATTAATGTCAATACTAATTTAATAACATAATTTTGTTACTCATAGTAGGTATGTAATTTTATTGGCTATTGAAAAGATTATAGATCGAGGTACACATTAATTTGATCAGTACGCTCTTTTAAATACACGGATCATATTGGTATTAAATTTTAAGATTCATATTTGAAAATATCAAAAAATAAAATTAATAAAAATGGTATTTTATAATAATTTAACTTTTTTTTAGTATTTTGTTTTATTTTAAAAATGTGTACGCGGGCTAGATTTTACCCACGGGTTGGTAACCATTGTCTTAGGGTAATACAAGGATATGTGATTTTTGGTACTAGGCAGTAATAGTAATTATAAGTAATAATGATTTAAAAATGTTGTTTCAATCTATTTGAAATATAAAGTGTTGAATAATTTTGTAATTTATCAACTTCTGAACTATAAATTAAAAGTAACCTTTATTTTAATTTTTGCATGATTATGTAAATTATTTTAACTATTTATTTTTGTTATGTTTGAAATTCATAGCATGAACATTTTTGTAGTTCATTATGTTACTTATATTTTTGGGTGTTTAATTTATGTTATGCATAAATATATATATGAATATATATAACAGTTTAAGTATTTTTACTCATAAAATAACTATTTATTGTAATCCTTTATTTTTAGTTATCATTATATTTCAATTATATTTTAGTTCTTACATGAATATTTAATTAAATTTCATCATATCAGTAAACTTCATAAAATTAATTTGTACTTACATGATCTTAAATTTATAGAGTTTGATTTAAATTATACATTTACATTTTCTATGATATCATTGTAGAATTGATTATTTTTGGGATAGAAGTTTTTAGAACATATTTTCTATTTCTATTTGTTATAATTAGTATATTTTCAATTTTGAGATTTTTGGATTACGTTCATGATATGTATAACAGATTAGACTTTTCCAGTCGCCTCTTATTGTTATTTAACATTTTGGACTTTGTTTCAATAAAAAAATGTATTCCAGAATGTTGACATTCAATGTTTATGATAATAATTATTTTAAAAATATATTAATGCTGGTACAATTCATGTCTAATAATTGACATGAAACTTTTATGAGCATTCAACTAAAAATTATTCTCTAACCCTTTATTACATTTTTTAACAGGGGCTTACATAAAGTAGTACATATTTCACCTTAATACCTGCCTGTGATGGCGTTTTATATTGATATTTCTGTAAGCAGAAATAATTGTTTAGAATAGCAACACACACAATCTACAGTAGTTTAGGATGCAGATTACAGGAATAATCCATTAATATTAAACAGAAGACAAGTTGTTATAGCAGAATGTTGTTTACTATAAATGTATAATCATTAATTTATATTTTACTAATTACTGAGTTACAAAAAATAAAAAATAAAAAAAATATATACTTGCACCAAAAAATTTAAATCCCCATATAAAATACTAAGCTGTACATTTTTATTTAGAATTACATTATAGTTAAATAAATTTTTTTTTCTGTTTATAAGTATTTTTATTAATTTTTAATATTTCAATTATAAATTATTATTTTTTAATTTTATTGAATTGAAGTCCAGTGTTTATTATTATCTAATCTTTCAATTTAATTTAGACAATTCAATATCTTGGAACAAAAATATGACAAATGATGATACATCAAGTATGAGCATTCAATTATTTAGGTAAATTGTCTATAGATTTATGAGAATTTATATTATATATATACATATTTTTTTTTTAGTGATAAAACAAAATCTGTCAATATTTTTGGAAACAATATTTTGAAATGTGCACAAGAAGGAAAGAGTGATAATCAAAAACAAAATGTTGATGAAATTACAAAAAATTTTGAGTACATAATTTAATTTTTATTGTTAATGTCTTTTTGACAAAAATAACTCTTAAGCTGCAGTTATTCAAGTTCCTGATATTTTCATTGGGTGAAATGAAAAATATGCATTAATTTATGTATACAAATTACAATATTAATATAAATTTAATATCATAAATATTAAAACAAAATAAATTTAAATTTTGGTCAAATATATTTATATTTATAAGTATTTAACTATTAATTATTTATAAAAATTGCAGACTAAAATCTACACCACCAAGTCTTCTGTCCAGTGAACTAGCTACACCACAGCAAATTTCAACTATATTGCTTACAGATGAAATTTTGAATAATCAAGCATATGAATTAAAAAAATTAAAAGTACATAATTTAATTTAATAAATATAATTGTTATATTTTTAGAAGGGATACTCTTAAAATAATAATATTAAAGTATCATTAAATATAATATATAAAAATGAAATTTCTGATTTGGAGTATTATTAATGAATAAATATTTATATTGAGTGATTTTTATTCATAGTGATGATTTTTTTTAATCTACAATCATAAGTATTTACACATCAGTAATATTCTAGACAAGAATTTAAGTAATATTAAGCAATATGTAATTGAATTATATATTTAATGATACTTTATTTTTATACAACATTTTTCTAAGATTAACAATTATATTTTTTACTTACATTATTTTTAGATTCTGTGTAAAACTAGGAGTGTGCTGGTTGAATTATATGATTTTATAAGCCTTGTTAAAGAAATGTTGACAAAATCAGATACTTCAACAAATTTCTATTAAAGATATTAATTATTTAGTTAAAAACATTTTAAAGTAAAAAAAAAAAAGTGATTTTAATTTAGTTGTATTTATTTGCTGTTTACAGGCTCTTACAATAATCTTAAATTTTTTTATACTTTTTTAATTTTTTGAATTTGGAACATTAAAATTTTGAACTATCGAATTAATAAATTTTGTTTTTCTACTGTATCAACCATACTTAAAATTATAAATCAATCCACCTGATCTCCTTCATTCAGAATTACTTTTTTTGAGAACAATGGTTTCAAGTTCAAAAGACCAATATGGCAATACATATTCTTGTATCTCATCTTTTTTTTTATATATATATTTTTAGTTATAAATATTTTAAATGATCAATTTAGCTTTCGAGATATCCTTTTTATAATACAAATTGTATTCATTTAATTCATGACCTAATTAATGGTTCATTATAATTGTTTTTTTTTGCCATTAAAATTAAAAATTAATATACATTTATGCTGACCAGGGGCGGAACTAGGGGTGAAAGATGGGGATTCATCCCCAGGCATAACATTTTAGAGGGTGTAATTTTTGTAATTATTAATAATTAATTTGATATTTTTAATTTTGTTAAATATTGATATTAGGTTAAAACTCAATTAGTATGATTGTATATTAATTATTAGAAAAAAATTCTCTAGAAAAGTATTTGATTATTGGTCTATGATAGGGCGTAATTTTAATATTTTCCCGGGCGTAAAAATTCCTAGTTCCACCTCTGATGCTGATCGAAAAATAAAAATATTAACAAATTAGCAATCTAAAAGTCACCATAATATGTACATTATTATGATTTTTTATAAATTGCTCTTGTTAATTAGGTTAAAATTTAAACAATTATTTAGGTTCACATATATATAGTATAAATTAATTAAATTGAAAAAACTTCGTTAATTAATCGTTTTTCATTGTGCTATTTCTTATTATATTATAAACAATTTTAGATGGAGTTGGAAGTCCAAAAAACTTTGATGTCATCCCTTGGTGAAAAATACAATGCATTAGCACTTAAACATTTACAATACAAATCAAAAAGAAAAATGCAAATTGAAGCTTTGAAGTAAATAATTTTCTTAACCATAATATGTAATATAATTAAATATTTAATTTATAATTTTTAAGAGGTAATTTGGAAGCTAGTCAATGCCAAATGGAATCTTTTAAGACACAATTAAACATACAAAAACGTAGATTAAAGACAGAAGAAGAGTTTCGTAAGCAAATCGAAACAGATTATAGATCTTTGCAAGAAGAAAAACGCAATACGGATATTCAGTAATAAAATAAACTTATTTTATACCAATTATATTTCAACATTATAATATGGTTTTATTTAGAGTTGCAATATCAGAAAATGAACTTCGTAATATGGCAAGACATCTCAGTGTGTTACATAAAAAAGTGGTTATGTTAGAAGGTGCTAATGCTGATTTGTTATCAAAACATTTACATCTGGTCTATAAAGATTCACATATGCATAAAAGCACTACATGTGATTGTATTGCTACTGTTCTTTCTGATGATAAAAAAAATTAAAACTAACTTTATTTCTTTTATTTGTATTTGCAATTCTTAAATATTTATGATTTTTTACAGAATTATGGAAAAAAACTTATTTTGAAATAATTTTTCTTATATTTAATCAGTTTTATTTCACTCTACAACCAGTATAATATTTTAATCAAACATTTTATTTATTTTTATAAATATTATAAATTAATACATATTTTTAATTTGTTCAAATACTTTTGACATTATTGATGTATGATGTGCCATTTATAAATTTCATCCTGCCATTAATCGTGCCAAATAATAAAAATATTTTAAATGTTAAGTTTGTTATTATCTGTTGTTGCTTCTGCTACACTGTAAACCCCTTTAAGTAATTTTCCTACATTTTTTTGTGATGGATCTTTTGGTGGAAGGTATGGACCTCGATCACCCGCATAAACATAGCTAAACACCATCTGTTAAGGTAAAACACATGTTTTTTTAAATTGTATGATTTTAAACAATGAATTATTATATGACAGAATCACACCAAAACTACTGTTATCATTAAACTATAATTTTATTATTAAACCAAAATTAATCAAAAGGATACGGTAAACGAAGAATCCAATAAGTACTTTGGGTAAGTTCAATAGGTGTATCAAATCCTGTTACAAATATTGGTCCACCATTTTCATCAGGTTGAACCATAGGATTTAAAGTCACATGTACTGGTGCTTTAGGAGTTACTACGTGGATCCTCATAAGCTGAGCCATCATTGAAGCTGAGCTAATAAATAAATAAATAACACATTATATTAATCATTGAAATTGAAATTTTTAAAAAGTTACAATAAAAATGTTTATATTATAAAATTAAATATCATATCAATAATACCTGCAAGGACATGGAAAATATAATGGCATATCAGAATTGGATACTTTATTTCCATTTTCTTTTACAATACCATTATTAGCTGTAGTTAATATTTTGTCAGGTGCTGAACACATAAACCGATGACCTCTTGGACATTCATACTCAACTCCGATGAAAATTTTAACAGAAAATTCTTAAAAATCAAATATATATTATAAACAATAATTTAATTTATTTAAAAAAAGATATAAAACTTTTATTTTTACCTCTAAAACCTTTGGTCTTTCGCCCACGTTGAACAGGAGATAAATTAATTTTGTTCTTATCAGTATTCCAATATCGATCTCTAGGATGATGTTCTAATCTTACAGTAACATCCCAAGGTAAAAGATAGGCGGTAGAATTCAAAAACCCAGGATGCTGTGTTTCTTGAAGTCCTAAATTATGTGAGTACAAACAAGACGAACCAAGGCAAACTAAAGACCAAGATGGAAACTGTGGTAATAAACTATTGGGCGAATCAGTATGCAACATCCCAGGTAAGTATTCTGTAGTACTTGGTTGTCGAACTAATGACTTTTCTAAATAACAAATGTGTCTTAAATATTAATAGAATATTTATAAACATATAAGTATACCTTTTGTTTCACTTTCAGTATCAGTTACTCTAATAACAATCTGATTGCTCGAGATGGTATCTTCATTTTTTTGCCTGTTAGTCAATTCAACAGAAATTAGACCCTGTCTATCTGGTAATTCTCTATTCCGAGATTCTTCACCCAAAATGTCATTAATTGGATCTACAGAATGACAACTGGCAAAAACTCCTTAACATCAATTATATACAAATAAATATTGTAAAATAATTAAGAATAATTTTAATAAACTATTTTATACCTCCTAAACTTAATCCTTGTGTATGGCCCATTTGAGTTGGTGTATGTAATAAACCAGCACTATTTTTCCGACCAGCAATCACTGGAGGTTTAGCAAATAATTGTGCCGCTCTGTATAAAGAAATTATATTAAAGATGCTTAAAAATAAGTTATTTAAACTACTCGCCTAAAATCTTGAGTACTTGGTTGAAATACTGGGAAATTGATTCTATCTAAACAACCACAGATGCAATCTTTGGCCATGATTTGATAAAAATCATAATTAGCTGTTCTAATTGTAAATGGATCTTCACGAGTACCTTGTTTATGACCACAATTGCATGCAGACAAGTACATGACACTACTTGAATGCTCCATAACAGGAAAGTCTTCCCGATTAACTGGACTGTAAAGACAAGATTATAGTTTTTAATTAGGATGAAGATTATGAATTAAATATGTCCAGTGAAATCTTTAAATATAAATAACTTTGAGCTTAAATTAACCAACAAAAAAATTCTTTGTTTACTTTAACATTAAATATTTTTAATTTAAAGATTTCACTGTACATTTTTTAATTTTTTTGAAATCTTTCTAAGAAGTACTGTATTTTTATATAATTTTAATTGTAACAGCAAATAAAGTGTGATGTAAGCTAAAAATAAGATAAAAAAAATTAGCATGCATTAAAATTTTTATTAGCATATAGACAAACTACATTTTTAACTTGTAGTACAATACAAAAAATATGCAAATATATAAAATATTTATAGTAAAGTATAAATATACAAAAAAATAATTGCTCAATGTATATATTGTGACTGAACTATTTTCCTTACTTCTGAACACTTACATCCCAACTGATAATTTACAATAACAATGATTTCAAAACATTTTATTAAACAAATATAAAATTCAATGACACAACTAGTAAAATAACTTGTATAAATAGTAATAATATATTTTAATTGTTATATGTTATTAATTTAGTATATATAACTTAATTATGTAATACTCAAGACAGGTGGCAGCTACTTAATTTATATCAGCAGCCCTTCAAATATTTATCATGTTATTTGAAATCAATTTTTTATCTTATATTATGTTTTTTATATTAATAAAATTAAATGTTCGTTTTAAACATTTTATTTTCTAGTAATGTTTATTTTAATTCAGCTTTCAAAAACATTTAAAAAAAAATTGGTTTACGTGGGTAAAAAGATTAGTCTAACCTAATCTAACACAGCTTTAGACTATAAATACACTTCTAAAAAATACCCAACTTTATAAATCATTGTTTTCTAAAATAACAAAGTTGATTGAGATATAGAACAAAGAATGGTTTGTTTGAATTAATTCACATTTTTCCTTTAAAAAAATAATTTAAATTAAAAATACATTTTTAATATCTAATTTATATATTTTTAATTAATATTTTATAATAATTAAAAATAATTAAAATTATTTATTTATAAATAAAATCATTTCACTTCAGCAGTTATGAAAATATTTTATAATGTAGTGTATGTTATTATGTATGTATACTTGTTGGATAAGGACACCTAAGATTAATTCTAAAACCAATGATTTTATTTAGGGCTTATATTAATAAGTAGTTAAAGACATAGATTAAAAAGTTAGTTTGAATCTAGTCTAATGTGTCAGTTTTTCAGTCACTGAAAGAGTTTCACTAGATTTATTTTTTTATAGCTTACATACAACGATCCATAAATCTTATTAGAGTAGAATATTTTTATTTTGTTACTTAATATATTTTAATAAATAATATGAAAATTTTGAGTATACCATAAATTAAATTATGAACATATTTTATTTTATAATTTTTCAGGCGTTACGAATAAAATAGTTTTTTTTTTTTTATTACAATTATTCATATTATTACTTATGATTTATTTAAAATAATTAAATTTTTGGTCAGTATTCCTAGAATATACCATACAATTTCATAAAATATGTATAATATAATTATGTGAAAAAAAAGACACACTAGCTTCTAGATATAAAAATATTTAAATATTTTAAATATTGGGATCTAGTGACATTCCAAAATATATTAGTAATTCAAATGAATAAGCTGTTTAATATTATATAACAAAATATACTAAACAATAAAAAAAAAAAAAAATTAAAAATGCCTACTAACAAATTATATACAATCATACAACTTTATATTTCTCATGCAAATAACTTAAAAGAAAGTTAAATATTGTTAACCATTCCGCTTTAAATAATAAAATCTACTTGTCATCTTGTTCCGGTTCCTTTATAGGCCCATCAACAGTACCCCCTTTATGTAAAGGTTGTGTACATGGATTTCCAGTTAAAGACAGAGTTTCACACATTTGACGACCTGACTGCCACAGTTGATCACAGTCTTGTATTAAAATCTGAATATAATCATCAAATAATGGACCACGAGCATGTTGAGCAAACACTGAAAGGGCTTGAGCTACCTAAAGAATATAAAAATAATAAGCTTTAAAGTTTCTACAAATATTTTGTTGATGTATCATACTCTAGTATCATGATAGTTTCTGTTATAATGTGATGGTAAATTTTCTTGATAAGTAGCCATGGCAATCGGCTGAACTTTACGGCATCGTCTCTCGCTAAAATTAGTATCAATATCTAAAAATGATCTTAATGCTTCCATGGCAATTTTAGATTCTTCATCAAGATCTTTTGCAATAATAAATAAATTATACATTTCGTTTGCTACTTGACACCATGTGCCAATATCAGGAGCCTTAAAAAATATATTAGTAGACAATTGAAAATATAACAATAATTCAGATTAGTACTCTATTGCTACACAACATTAATTAAAAAACAAGTCTTGAAAGAAACTGATACAACTTGTTAAAATTGTATGTATAGGTATTTTATTGATTTTATACTATATATATATATATATATAATATATTATAAAATCAATGATTGAACTATTTTATTTAAATTTGAAAAACAATTTTAACAAATATTGGTAGGAAGTATACTTAGAATAAATCTATTCGTACATATTTGTAAAAATAAGCTGTACTCCAATAAATATATCTAAATAATATAAATTTTGTAATGATCAGATAAAAAATTAAAAACTTTATCTTCATTAATATGAAATATCTTATTACCTCAAAATAGTTTGCAATGGTAATAGCATGTCTACCAATATTATCATCAAATCCTTTTTTAAACGCTACTTCAATATGATCAAATAAAAATTTTTTTATATTATGACCTAAAATTAATTTTAGAAAAAAATTAATAAGTTTGTCGTAAGTGAAACTTTAATTTACTGACTTTTATTCAAAAAATCATTCTCCAGAATATCTTCGACCTCACAATCATTGAAAGAATCTTTAATTACTATACAATAATAATTATTATACATTTAATAATATTTATCTTTTTGCTATTTAATACATGTGAAGTTTACGAACAAAAAAAAAAAACTTTTTATTTGCAAATATTAGATAGCAAAAAAAAAAAAATAATTTTGACAGTTACAGAATATGAAAATTGTTGGTACTAAATTAATTTATATTGGAGAAACCTGATAACTGAAAACATTTATATAAATCTCACGACTTAATAAAATAAGGGTCCTAGTTTAACTTAATTCAACATTTTATGTGCTGGAATAAATTTCTAACATTTTTCATATTATTTAAAAATTATTAAAAATATGAAACACTGAATATTTTATAAGTTTATTGGATTTTTTTTTTTTTTTTAAATTGTTATAATTCCAAACTGTATATTTTTAAAAATATTAAATTTTTAAATTTTGAACAACGAAAAAAGAAAAATGTAGTATTGGCACAAAAATATACTATTTAAGTAATAATTTTTCTATATATAGTCTAAAAAGTAATAAAAATTTCAAAATAAAATAACTTGTGAATTTTTATCCAGCAAATGTTGAACATAGAAAGTTATTTAAATAATATAATGTCAGTTAAAAGTAATAATGTATTTAATGTTCTTCTAATTGAAAATCTATGTTATCCAATAAATAATTCACTTAAAAATCCAATCTTATTGAATAACTGTTGAAAAAATAATGAGACATGCAGAAAATTAATATTTTTTGTTACCATAGTAAAAAGTTTTACATTTTTGTAAAATAATGTTCCTAACCAAAGTGCATCCAAAAATAACTTAATAAATTTTAAGCAAATTTAAAGCCAACTTCACATAAGTCATTATTTGCATACACACCAACAGATGAACTATTACACATAGTTATCAGTGAGTTAGTCAAAAATTCATCCCAGTCTAAAATTTGATCAGGTGAATCATCCATAAATACATATTCTTGATTAGCCGGTATAGCAAACATCGAATTGATACTATAATTTCAAAAATAATTTATGCATATTATACATATTTATCATAATATATATATACACAAAGAAAGATTATAAATATTTATATACTTTAAATTAATAAAATAGTAACTATAGGAACATTAAATACTAACCAAATTAAATTAATATTAAATTATTGTATGTTATAATAGATGGGTTCTAAACCTTTTAAAGCCTATGCCCCTTTTCATACTATTATATGAAGTCAAGCCCTCCTCACCACTACAAGAATAGAGTATAAATTATTAAATAATCAAAATTTAATTAAATTTAAATGAATTTATTTGTAGATGAAAAAATATTCAAATTTTAAATTTTTAAACAAAGTATGTTAATATTAGATTAACTTTTTGAAATATTAAATTTTAAACTTATAACTATTAAAATTGATTTTATAAAAAAATTAAAATAAGAAATTTATTATAAAATCACTGATATTAATTATAAATTAATGAGAGGATTGGCACCGTCACTGTTTAGTCTAAATTAATTTTAGAGGATAATATAATTACTCAATAATGCCCAATAAATATAAATAATTGGAAATAATGTTTACATGTTTTATGGTTTTTAAAATTTTTTACACTTCACTAGGGGATCTAGAGGAGCACTCCCCAGGTAGGAAACCATTATTATAATATAACAGACTACAAATTTAGTTCCACAACTTTCTAAATACTTAATATAAATATGGAATGATTAAAATTTATAAAACACATTTACCTGTCTCTAAATTTCTTGTGACAGCTTTAAATAATTATAACTAAAAATGGTTGACTTGATATTGGATTAATGTATGACTTAATTTTATGTAAAAAAATACCTTAGGATTTAAAATTTGAAAAAGAAAAATTGATATTTTTTTTATAAACAACATAAAGAATAAAAATATTTTGGATATAATATCATAGAATAGTACCTAGTAAAAATATATGTAACAAACAACTTTTATTTTCCAAAATATGACACCTTATTCACACCAAAATAATTATGATTTTAATACCTTATATTGGAAATAATTCGTCTTTTTCTAAGTATACTATAGATTTGATCTTCTAAAGAATGTTCAGCTTTTTTTAAGCCTGGATGACATGGTCCAGTGGTTTGCCTATAGAAGAAAAAAAAAATAAAGAAAATAAGGTTTTTTTCTTTCAATAAGAATTTTTGGTAATCATAAAATATACTACATACCATAAAACTATCAAAAACTGTTAATGTTATGATTAGGCCTAGGGACTTCTAGCCTTTACATACTTTTTTTAATTATTGTTAAATATAGCAGAGTGCAAAATAAATTCATTACTCGGTGCCATGATATAAGATCTAAAATTTGAATGTGCATATTTTTGCATATTTGATAGATTTTACAGTAGAGTGCATATTTTAAAAATTGTATGCTTATTTTGCATATTTTGACAAATTTTTCAAATTTTATTATTATTATAATTAAAATTAAAAACTATAGATACATATAACATAAATATATATTTCAACCAATCGAAAAAAAAAATGTACTAAGAAGACTTAATACTTCCAATAATATGCTATCTGCAAACTACCTCTCATATTTCATTATAATTTTTGAGCAAGTATAAATAATACTATAAACCTGTATAGACTGTATAACCCGCTGGATATCGATCGGATTTCGATACAGATAATAGTCGATATAGAGTAATAGATTATTTATTTAGTGTTTAGTTCAGTTGATTATTATCTGTCGTTGTTTTTGCGTCTCGCATCCACACAACGTCGAATCATATGTAAAACGTACCCGTATATTTTGTAATATTGTGTAATGCCGAAAGTACAACAATCTACAAGTAGCCGACTAAAAAGTTTTGTTTCGGAGTTTAAAGATACATTTACATTCAATGGATACATTTTATTTTGTGTACTATGTGGTAATTTTTTTTTTTTTAATGCATATAAAGTCATATTATAATGCATATTTTAATGATTTTAGAAGCATATTTGCATGCATATTTGTGTATTTTTTAGAGCTATAAGTTCCTAAGCCTAGTTATGATATTCATTATCAAGTATTTCAAAATATTAAATATTGTTATAAATTATAAGTCATCTCATATTTTTGTCATAATAAACTAATCATTGTGTACTGATAAAAGACCACAATAAAAATAAATTAAATAAAATAAAGCTTTTGCTCTTTTGTTTTAATTCCATATTTAATTTTGATATGTCTTCATATTCATTTAATTATATCTGTATATCTATTGTATGATTAAAATTTATTAATTTATTATGAAAGCTATTGTATGATTATTTTTAATCTTTATGACTCAAGTATCAGGTTTCCCATGATAAAACAAAATAAAAGAATAAAAATATCGATTAAATCAAAAATAAATATGAATTGAATGGAAAATAAAATATAAAAATATGATTTTGTAAATTATATTTTTTGATAGGTAACAGTGTATATGTAGCTAGGTATTAGGTAGTATACTACACAAGTAATTTATTCTTTTTTTAATTAACAACAATAGACCTTACTTATTTTTCTTAAACTCATCTGGACATGATTCATAATAAAATAATAATCTTGGAGAACACAGTCTACCGTTTTCCATCCAACTTGAAGAAACATTAGGTATTTTTGATAAAGTAGATTTTATTATATTGAGGAATTTTGATCTGAAATAAAACAAATAAAAATAAAATATAATCAAATTAAATAAAAAAAATGATAGAAAAAAAATGGACCTTGAACAATCAAGAGCTTTGAAAAAACTCAAGTAGCTAGCATCAAATATAGGAACTGGATGTGTTAATACAAGAATGTGTGATATATTAAACAAAAACAATAATGAACATGCATAATTGTACTTCAATGTGGACCAAACTCTTAGAAAACCCTAAAAATATATAAAATAAAGGAAAATATTTAATATATTAATTAAGGATTTAGAACTTAATAACCAATATCTTACTTTTTCTTCAATTTCAGTTGATAATTCATCTATGTTTTGTGTAATTGAAAGACTGTCAAAAGAACCAGTTAAATGTAGATAAACAATACCTCCAGCTTCATCATGAAAACACTCGATTGAGGACTATAAATACACAATATCTTAAAGATATCAATATTAAAAATTTTTAAAAACTTTTAAGAAATTATTGGAAAATTAATTCACTCGTTTGTTGATTGGCAAATACCAAAATTAATTACTGAATTAACTAAAATATACATATGTATATTTTTTACCTGAAGTTTTGAATTTGTATCTTGTACTAATGATGAATCGAAAATTGGGCGATCATAAAAATCATTCACAAAACGAGCTTTGCAAGATTTTGAAGCTAGTGTAGATTTGCCAAATATAGATACAACAATAGTTGGTTTGGCAGGATTTTGGATAGAACTAACAAAAATATTGTTTATTAAATTATGAATAATGATAATCTAATAAGTATACTTTATTATTAAGTTATTAAGTTTTTCATCAAAAATATTTTTATTTAGGGTTATTTTACCAAATAAATTGCTCATCAAAAGGCAAATACACTTTTTTATACTTCATATTCATCAACAGTTGAAAAATGTTTATGTATATATTTAACAAGAAAACAATAATTTTTTTTCTTTAAATATCTAACATATAAAAATGTCATGAATATATAAGAATTAAATCAAAATTAAATCCAAAATACGATAATAATTACGGTGTAAATGTTATTAATAATATCATATAATAAATTAAATGTGATGTAGACTGTTGTTTATTTTAAAAATTGATTAGGATAACGTTATCAATTTATATCAGTCAATACCACAATTAAAGATATAATAAATATACCTTATACTTGTATATGGTCTATTACTAGCTCCACACTTTCGCCGAGGTGCCATGAGGCAGCACGAGCACAAGAATATAGTCGATAGGTTCTTAAAAACTATAACAGAGCCTTTAGTCGATTCACTGGTGTCGCCTCGCCTAGCCTCTTGCGCGCTCCGTTTGGTGTCGATATTTTGGTCGCAAGTAAAAAGAACATGAAACATGAGGCGAGGCGTACCAATTTTACTCTCGCCTGAACTTTCTTGTCCTCAGTTAACGAAACAAAAAGAATATATTGCATATATATATTATAATATTATATTTTAATATTATTGTCCACCATCTCCTATTATTGGGTTGTTTCATTTTTTTTTTTTTGAGTGGCTTAAATGTAGAAAATTATAATAACTGTATGCACTCAATGCAGCTGCAGCTGTTTTTTCAATCACGTCAATATTGTACAACCGCTAGAAACAACTAAATGAGTCACAAGACTACACGAGAGTGCAGAGTGTGCATCTGTGCGCTGCCTTGCCACGCATTAATTCGACAAGAGTCTCGACGAGGTGACCTTGCGAGAGTGTGGAGCTAGCATAAGATAATAATAATTTTATCAGATATTACCCAAATATACTTCTTTACTCTTCTTACGTTCTCTATTTATTAATACGATTTATTTTTAAATACTTCAATTTAGTTTATTTATTTATATAATTTATGATAAATATAATTAATATTTTAATATACCTACTCGGATCAAGCTATTTTAAACAGGCCATTCATTAGGGTTGAAACTGGACTATAAATGTATACCTTGTAACAAAGAAATCTCAATAAGATCTTATAATATGTGTTTTTAAGTTTATTCATAATTATCATTGAAAATATTCACATTTATTTTATTTTGTGGAGTCTTACATGACTACCGGTTTAGAAATGTTTTACTTAACATTTACTTTACTTTACAATTAAATCAGTGGCTTCATTTGGGGGATGGCTACTGTAACATTTTCTCCAGTCTAATATTAACTTCGATCTATAGATGGCGTATTTAAAAAATATATATAAGAATTGGCCAATTTTTTCAACAAATATTAACTGTGGGTCATTTAATTTCCTGAATCTCCCATAGATCCACCCCTGGTATGTATTCTGCATAATTTAATATATCCTGATGGAGCGTTTATTGTTGCTTTACATACATCTGGTACAATAAGGGATATTGAATGAGTAGATACTTTTAATAAGATAATAAAAGTTATAAAATGGTTAATATTAGTAAATTAGTATATAAATTAATAAACAAATAGTTTAAATAAATAAATAAATAAATGTTTAGCTTGGAGTATTAATATATGAAATAAAACAAGCATCTAGCCTGGTATGCGATATTCAAACGAGCAGACAAAAATTTATAAGGCAAGAAGTTGTAGGTTATTCATATTAAATAATACTTGATGATATTTAATTAGAACTAGAACATACTACATGATTCATTTTTTTTTCAATGTGATAATTTTACTTCATTTCAAGTATAACTAAAATGTTGAATATTTGTTTGTATTTTGCATTTAAAATTATTCATCAAAATATTTAAATTTAACGATAAGGTAGGCACCATGTATTTTTAAGTCTTTCGTGAATTCACAAAATGCTATTGCAAAATTGTGATACTAAGCAATGCTAAAATTTGTCAGATAATTATGAGATAGTAATGAATCTATGCACATTTTAATTATTTTTATGTATTATTTAATAAAACATTTTAACAGGTATATTTATAAGCTTTTTATTTTAAACTATCGATAACATGTTCTCTAAAGCAAAATTAAAAAACATAAAATCATCTTTTTTAAAACAATGGAATTGAAAAAGTAAAAAAAGTATTTCTATCTTTTAATATAAAATGTGAAAAATTTGTCAGGTGTGGGGTTCGAACCCACGCTCCCGTTTGGGAACCAGAGCTTAAATCTGGCGCCTTAGACCGCTCGGCCAACCTGACTGTTGTTGATTAATGTAAAAATAACTTTATATAAGTAATTTTAAATAAATATTTTTTTTCATATTTATAAATCATATTTATCATTCTAAATATCTATTATAGTAAGGTAATATAAAATTAAATAGAAGTTATTTGGGATTTTTTTGTGTCTAATACATTTTGATCCTTTAGGTGTTTTACAAAATTAAAAACGGGTATTTAGATCGTTTCACCTAAGATCAATATTCAATGAATTAATAAAATGTCCAATTGGCATTAAACTATAAATTATTTTATTTATTTTTGTAATAAATATTGATGTGTTTATTATATAGGTCTTTATATATCTATGGTTTATTTTAATATAATGAATACTTTACGATGGTTACATTAGCAATAATCCAATAGCAATAGATAAGATGCCTAGTGTCTCCCAAGCACATTTAATGTAGAAATTTCTTAGCACCATAATTTGTCAATTGCATACAATAATTGCTATGGTAACAGTGCAGCCACAACACCACGTATAAAAACAAAAACTTTAAACGACCAGATATCAATAACGATAAAAAATCAAAAAAAAATCAGTCAAAATAGGCGAATAAGTCCCACAAATATGTCAGTATAACTGTAAAATCGACGTGAAAAACAAATTGTGTGAAAATACATACATATTTATATTTTTAAAGTTAGTACCGCTTGACGGCATGCGGCAATACGGATTGCCGTAAAAACGAACATTTTCAAAACACGTTTTGTTTTTTGTAGGCAGTGGCGTAGTTACGGGGAGGGTGTAATTGGTTTCCCCCCCCCCCCCCCCCAAATGTTTTTTTTAATGATATTTGATTATTATTTATTAATATTTATATATTATAGTAAAATATTTTGATTTTACTATGATTAGGTATATATTAAAAATTGAATAACAAAATAATTTTCATTAATACGGGACATAATAACACTATTTTAAATGTAATATTATATATGATCTCGTTTTAAGATATACTACGAACACTTAAAAACTTACTCTTAAACACCCCCCCAGAAAAGAATTGTATCTACGCTACTGTTTGTAGGTATTCGTTCATTTAACTGTTGAGTTAATGTGTCCACAAATGGAAGGAATATAAAGATTTAAAAAAAAATGTTTAAGGTTACCTGTAGAACAATTTGATCTTAGCCCTCCCAGAATTATTTGTATTATTTTTGCTCATTTTGTTGAGTAGTCTTATTTTCATTTAGTTCATTGTTTTTTTTTTTTTTATTATTATTATTATTATTATTATTGTACTTACAGCCCCCCCCCCCAATATATTTGATTACCTTACGCCTATGGACCCACGATATAGGAAGGGGTTTACAATTTTACATTATATTTATCAAACTGGAAGACTATAAAATAATATATATTTAACCAATTAACCATAAAAGTAATTTATTTTAATTTTTACTTAATTAATTATATAAATTTGACACTTATTTTTCAAAACAAATAGATTTTTCATAAACAAGTTATAGGTTTTCATATATTAAATTAATTTTTTAAATTCTATTTAAATAAATGTATTCTGATCATAGTACACAATTTTCCAAGATTTTTGACATTTTCCAGGGGGGGGGCATGTCCCTCCCTTTCCCTCCCATGGGCGACCATGAATGACGTGTTTAATAAAAACGAAATGCATTTAATAATTTTATAATTCTTATCACATTATATCAAGCCGTAAACGTAGATCATACATATAAAAAATGTTTACAATAAAATACAAAAAAATTTTTCTTTCCCAAAAGTGTTGGTTTTTGGGACTTTGTTCATATTATGCTCTCTGTAAAAATCTTCTGCCTCAGAGAAATATGCAAGTGCATAGCTAATTATGAACAAACGGAAATTAAAGCTGCAAATTATATTGTGGGGCTCTGGGGGGTATTAAAATGTACTTGATTTAAATTGAGGAACATATTAAAATTATTGTTTCACAACTTAGAGTGTCAATCAGGGATGAACGCATGTAAAAAGTTGAGTGGTGAGGTTTTTGAAAAAATATCATAACATTAGTATTGTTGTTTATTAATCTTTAATAATAAGTACATAATTGGTAATAATAATATTTTGTGGGTAGGTTCTTTTCGCAGC